TGATTCGGATGAACTATCCATTTGAGCTGATATTCTCAGAACACCACACAGCACCGTCATCGGCTGACAGTCTGAGTCTCCACTGTTGCTTAGTTACCAATGATCGCGCGCGCACTCGACAATCGCCTACTGTGGACTTCGACCGAAAACAGGAAGAAAATACGGGTATGTGAGCTGGCTGAATAAACATCATTTTTATTCATATCTTTCACATTTACTGCAGTCAGATTCACCGTGTTCACTCACATGGCTGTGCACTTGTAATGACACATTAAGGTTGTTAAGAGGCTAAAAGCAGGTTTAAAACTTTTCCCGTTTAAGTCAACAGGTTGCAAATTTTAAAAAGAAGATAACACGGTGTAGGCAACACCGGTTTTTGTCGTTGTTATCTGTACTGACAGCACTCCAAATTTACACAAAATGAGCTCAATGTTAAAATTGACCGAAGTTTTCCTTTAATGTTTGAACAACGTTACCATGGGAGTGAACGGAGTTGTCAGAACGCTTAATAAAGTTTGACTTTATCTGACTGTTTTGTTGACATACCCTTTAGCACATCTAGTGGATGCATAACGCAAACCCAGTCAAACGTTTGACTGCAGTATCTTATGCGCCTTATAATCCGGTGCGCCCTATATATGAAAAATGTTCTAAAATAGGTCATTCATTGAAGGTGCGCCTTATAATCCGGTGCGCCGTATAGTGCGGAAAATACGGTACACTGAAATTGTTCAGTCTAGTTCACTAACCGTTTTCGTTATCATATTATACATTCACCTATGTTGACATTGCTGCCTGATTGTGAAAGATACTAGCCTGGGAAAACCCAGACAACTTCCGGCAAATTTAGATTTGCTCTGAAAGTTAGTCTGGCAAAGAGCTCATTCAAGCCCATTTCCAATCCGCCGAAATCGAGGCACCAATCAGAAATGTTGGGGCGGGCTTTACACGATGACGACAGCGCTGGGATTTTGAAGCAGATTTTGTAGCCTACATTACAAAGATGGATGCCGCCGTCGAACATCACTCGTTCGAATCAGCTATCGCGTCTGTTTTAAGTGATTTGAACGTTTCCTTTTTGTTAAAAACCGAGCAAAGAACAACACTCGGAGATGTTTCTCCGCCGCTCTGCATACGTCATCTCCTTCATCGCTCTGATTGGGTTTAGGTCTATCCGCGACATCTGTTGGTGACGCCCCTCTGGAAATGATTTGTCTATGACGCTTTGCCAGACCATAACTCAGTTACAACTGAGAATGGTCTGGTTTTAACCAGGCTAGAAAGATACACGAATAGTTAGTGAAATGCCTTATGCTAGATAACACCACATGTCGGCTAAATGCAGTCAATGTAACGTTATCATGGTACGAGCATAGAGCATTAGTTCAACGTCAAGCTGATAAAAGTAGCCTATTATTGTAACGTTGCAGTGGGAGTTTACATGAGTTTCCAGCGTGTTGTGTGATGCTTTCTCCGGTGTGTTGAGAGTCTCAGTGTGGCCGTGTACCATGAGTGCTGGCTCTCATGTAAAAATTGGTTGCAATCTGAAACTTCACCGATAGAGGCCGCTAAAAAATACATATAGCACCTTTAATACAATTTTATTACATGCATCATACATATTAATGTTTGTAGTTAAATATAATTATATATTAAATAATTAGTTAAATAAGAAATAACAAAAATAATAATATTAAAGTCAGCATGAAACAGAAGTTGCACTAGTCATTTCTTCCCTATTGTGACGTATATCCTTGTGAAACGGCTTCTGGAATGGCGGGACTTGATTTTGTCCATCGGGAATTGATTGCATCGTGGTGCGCTGGGCGTTGCTTACTAAATGGTGGCAGATCTGGATGGCAGTTTGCAGTCAGTTGTGGAGGGTATTTAGTCCCAGACACGTGTCATGAAGAAAACTGACGTCGTTTCGAGACGGAGGGGAGTGTACATGAATTTGAAAAAATAAAAAAATAATAATAATTATACACTTAATAAACACTCCAACATTCTGTAAAAAAAAAAAGAAAGAATTGTCTGTTTTGATTTCATGGTGAAATAATAATGCTCATCATCATCAGTACTTTAGTTCATTATGTGACCCAAGCCGGGATAAAGGAGGGTTGAGCGTAGGGCTTGCAATCTGGTCCCATAAAAAATTCTTATTGCTTAAGAAATGACAAGAAAGCAGTGCTCAGCAGTGTTTCGGAGGGTCGTCGTTCATGATGGGGACCCCCCCCCCCTATCAGCCATGAGAATTGGAAATAATAATACGGTGTTAACATAACAATTTTAAATAACAGAAATTAAAATATTGTGTACCAAAAATGGATTCAATTTTGAAAGTGTCTATTAACCTTTTGTTGAGACAATGTACTAATATAATAGTTACATCTACATTCAATAAATATAATAATGTTTAGGAGAAATTAAATGCCTATATCATAAATATATAATTATGTTAATAATAATAATAATACAGTAAAACATTGTGTAATAAATGAAAATAAAATAAATGAAAGCAGTTGTGGGTTTACCTTTTAAGACAATTAAATTATATACAGTTGCATCTACAGAAATAAATATGAATAAATATCAAGTAAAAATAATGACTAATAATATGAACATAAATAATAATAATATTAACAATAATGAAATTCAAATAACAGAAAATAATATCTTAATATATTAATATTCTAAGTGTCTGTTCACCTTTTGTTGAGGCAACATACTAATATACAGTTCTACATTCAATAAATGAATATTAATGTGTATAATAAGTTAAAGTCTTTTGTTTTTCCCCATCCAAACCACATTTTCCTGAAGTGAATGTTCACTGACTGTCAGAGCCATGACCACCATGAGTCACCAGAGGGGATTTGTTCAAATCATAGATCTGTTCTTGCTCATCTTTACAGGAATTCTCTCAGCCGGTCCAGTTTTCGGCGGGTGGAGTGCTGAGGTGTGGCGGAGCTGAGCGCGGGTGGATGTAAAACCAGACGTGATCTGCCGCTCCATCATTTAACACACTGCACATTCCTCTCTCAGGCACAAGCCCTCCTGAGCCAGCCTCTCTCTCTCTCTCTCTCTCTCTCTCTCTCTCTCTCTCTCTCTCTCTCTCTCTCTCTCTCTCTCTCTCTCTCTCTCTCTCTTCCGTCTGTTTACTCTGAGAGGTTATCTGCTGTAAACAGAGTCATTATGATCTTCATGGGCACAGCAGCATAACTGCTCAAACTAGCCATCAGTAGAGAAAAATGAGCTTCTTGCTCAACTGCAGAGGTAATTTTAGGTTCTAACCAGCACACGGCATTCAGATGCTCCCCTGCACTTCCTCCTTTTGTTTGTTTGTTTGTGCTTTCTCGTCTCATGCGCTTGGATGAGTGTGAGAAAGAGGGCAGCAATACGAGCCACAGTCCTTCCAGACATTTGTGAGTGTTTGTGTGTACGTGTTGCCACATAAAACCTTGTAGCGCTGTCTGATTTATCTGCTTGCCCTCAGTGTATTAAAGTGTTTGTGAAAGCTCCATGTCATGTCTTTTCCAAGACCAACGGCTGACAGGCTGAGGCCAGAGACCGGCTCACTCAGAGAAGACGCGTTCAATCTATCACATCCTTTGCGTAAACTGTTTTTATAACTAATTCTGCTGTTGGCTCAAGCACTGATGTTGATGAGCAAAGAAAAGCTGGATTTGTTTCAAGACTGTCGGGTGTATAGTGGAGATCCCTTGATCATTATTTAGTGTGTCCCTTTAGGTAACAAGAAGAGGAGGGAAGCATAAGCCATTAATATAGTCATTTACTGTGGAAAAAGTTCCACACCGCACTAACAAAAGAGCACACTAACGTTCTGCACTGACTGCTGTGAATTTTGACTGCCACTTCTGCACCGAATCCTCCTTTCAGACACGAAGGCGTTTTAATGTTATTGTAAATGCACATTAATGTAATGTATACTATCCACGTTATGCACAAGTATGTAAACTGGAAAAAAAAGGAGAACTATTTAGATGTTACCATTTTGTGATGATACCAGATGAAATGGTTTTTGAATGTAGCTATTATCCTGAATTAGCAATACTTTCACTTTCCTACCATAGTTGGACTGCTGTAATATCCCGTCTTGCACTATTCTAATGTTTGTATGACCTCTACTGCCTGTCTCGACACTATACTGTGCAAACTGCTGGTCTAAATACTGTATTTTTAATTACCAAAATGTTTTTTTTATTTATTTGTATTCTTGTCTTTTTTTTCTTTTCCAATTTTACTTTTTATATTAAAATAAATTTCTCCTAATTTTTCATAGCAGCTTTTTTTTTTTTTTTTTTTTTACACACACTAACACAGATATAGACACACATTAAAGGTAAATAATAAATGTGTATTATATATAAATAAATATAAATCATATCATTTACTATATATTCTCTATACAGTAAATATATTTTAATTATTAAATGTTATTTTAAAATATTAATTCATATATTTGTTGATGCTTGAAGGGTCGAAGCCTCTTCTTTTTACATGCAGCTCTTAATCTCATCACAGCTTGATTGTCTGCTGCTCAAAACGACCTCCATATGTTCAACGTGTCATTGACATGTAACGAGACAAAGAAAAAACGCGCCTGTCCATCTGCGACCTAATAACAAATTAATAATATTGTTAATAATGCGGCTTTACAGCCCATACGGACGATGAATGAGCTCGTCATTGCCGTATATCGGTCTGCACATATGACGTAAGGTCATTATGACGGCATGGCCCCAGCATATCACTAGCGTTATTTAATTACAAATTTAAATGCAGCGATTCGGTGTAACCGCCTTAAAAATGAATGCAATAGTGATGAATGATTTTCAATATGTTTCCGGAAGTCTATTGTATTTAATCATTATGAGCAATCATGTTGTTTCCAATGGTATACCGAAACAATTTGCTCAATATTGCGAGGTTTTTTGAAGTGAAAAATAAAAAGAGCAAACATTTAAGGAAGATAATGTATGCATGCGTTGGCTCTTTAAGAGCAGAGGGAGGGGTTCGCTCCATGGTTTGGCTGCGGTGTTTTTGTCTCTGTCAGTGAGACTGCTGGCCTTATCGACTGAGGGGACTGGAAGGGGGTAGGTGACAATACACACATGCTGTCTGCTCAACATTGTGCTTTTTATGAGGAGAAAAAAAACATGCAATTATACAGTAAACGGGTAACGTTACATTGCCATTTTCAATTTGCTTTCATGGCTGTGATGCTTCAGTCTTTGTGCTTCTCGATTTTACTTTGAGTTTCAAAGTAACGGTACCATGATGGGGATTCACATTCACCATTTAAAACTGGCTACCCTTACTATTATGTGAATTATTTATGTTGCGTTCATTTAAAAAAAGCAACGCTCGTTTTTATTGGTTGATTTCCATTATTATAGGCATATGGAAATTAAACCGCATGCATCTTTCGTGGGAAGCGCGCACAATGCCTTTAATAGTGTGATCCTTAGAGTTCAGGTACACGCGTGTAGAATTATTCAATTCATTATGAATATGGTAAACTGATTGAAGTGTTTAAGAAAGCATTTGTTTTTAATAAAAGCAGAGTTCGTTTGCGGGCGCGCGCTCTTTTTGTTAGTCAAAACTGGACATAAAACACCTTTTATGTGTTTTATCTGAACATTGCTCTTGTATAATCGTATCATTTAAATGGACTCTCGACGGAGATGATGGTGAAACGAGTGATGATGGCGGTTTGGGGTAAATTCTTCATTAAATAAAAGCCCCGTGACTGCTGTGACTCTGGGGAGAGGGTGGGACTGCTGGAGTTTTTCATGACTTCCAGATGTTCATCACTTTGGCTTTGAATTCATGGGCCTTGATTTGCTTGGTTTAACACGCGTGTTTTAATGTTTGCACAAGTCTGATTTAAATTAGAATGTTACTGATCGTGGAACCCATCTTGGAATGTAGAACTTGTGGAAAAAAAGAAGGGAATGAGACCTTTTCAACTCAGCTTAAGTTTTAGTTGAAATTGTCACGAAAGATAATGTTTTAGTTGTAGTTTCATAGTTTGCTAAGTAGCCTAATTTCTTTAGTCCGTATTTGTAACTGCCATTGAAGGTTTTTAGTGTTGGCTATATTGTTTCAGTCACGCCACGCGACTTTTTGTTTTTGTTTTGGGGGTTACTTTCGTTCTTTCTCGTCAGTCGTATGTTTAACTAACACCTCGTTTAGGTTGTGAAGTGGTTATAACACGCGCTCGTAGTCGTGTCGTAGTGCGCAGTCTCCGGAGTTCATGAGACGCGCGGGGTGAAGTCGTGGAATTCCTCGCGCAGGAATGCGCGGTTATAAACCCCATTTGCACGGTGGACCACATGCTGGGCGTCTAAATATTGTTCGCAAGACTAATGAAATTAAGCCACAGGACTACGCGAATGTGTCTCGAGCGCTTTTAATTTCCATTAATTGTTGATGTTTCTCAGCATGTCACTCAATTGTTGACAATGACATCCTCCCAGGACACCGCGCCTCCCCATAGGAAAGAAAAATCACAAATGGGATCTCATTGGTTTCTCTTTGACAGTATTGATACTTTTTTCTGAGGTAAAGACTACAGTAATCTCAGACAAATATCCACCAAGTAACTCGACCATGTCTCTAACTGTGCTCAGATTTGCCAAGACACCCGTCTTTGCTCTCCACATTCATTTTATAGCCACTATATGGCAGCAATTGTCTTCTCATTTATGTCTACTTGGGTATTAGGAAATGCTTCCGATGCTTTGAAGCAAAACTCCATTATTTCTATACATGGATCTTTGCGACAGCCTTTTGTATCTAAAAATGATCCTCAGCAATTTTATGGCTTGTCATGTTCACTTTAACTTCCCCTCAGCAAGCGTTATTCTGCTTGATAGGTGTGTAAATCTGTCTGTCACTTTAAATGTGACGTTAAATTCATTGTAGACAATGGCAACAATAATCAAGCATGCAAACAGTCACCATCATTCTGTTTGCTGAATGTTTATTTTTTATTTTATTTCTTCATTTGCCAGGCACATTAATCAACAGAAACATAACCATAAATGAGCTAGAGGTAACCCTATAGGCAAATTTGTATCTTTTGTCCCTGTTCTAAAATTAGAATAAAACAATTTATCACAAATATCTCATTCAGACCAATACCAAAATCAGTACAATCCACATCCACAAAACGAATGATGCGGCACAAACCATGTGTCAAGGCTCACAGAATTTCTAATAATACTAATATTATTTAAATTAAACCTGCTTGTTGGCATAGGAAATGAAAAACTATACTATATTTTTTTGTGAATGGAAGCCTCATAGCATAATTGCCTAAGTCATTTTGTGTTTTTTCTGGTTTTCCAAAGACATTGAAATATGAATTAGGCAATTATGCTATGAGGCTAACGTTGATATATAATATATATATATATATATAAAGGTCTATTCGACCTTCCAGTGAAATGACAGATCTCTCTCTGCCAACATATGCCAGACTTTTCCAATTATTTTGTCCTCATAAACTCTGTCCTTTTCTCAAAATCGGACAATCGGATTTGCCTCCATCCAATCAACAACCACTGGATAAAAGTCCCCGCCCTACATTTTTTTTTTTATTCAACAATCCATTTCACTCAGATGAATGTCACAATACGGAAGAAATGATCTGTCACTACTTCCGTTACATTGTGACTTTACATACATGGAGTAATACATGGCCATTAAAAAAAAAAATGCCCCAGTTTTGGTTACATTTAGCTTAAAGTGCACCATGAAATCAAAATAGAAAAAAAATTTTCATGGAATATTGCAGTGTTTATTATAAATAATTTTTCCGTGCACATCATTATTACTTTAAATTAATTTGCCCTCGCAATCTTCAAAAAGAACTTCCCCTCCATCTTGCAGCTCATCTCTTCTCTGATGATACGTTTACTGGCACGAGGGCGGGACAACCTGTCACTCACATGACATCGTTGCAATGGCAAACCACAACCATCCAATCGATTCCCTGATAATAAAGTCCCGCCCTAATTTTTTTTTCTTGTTCAAGAAGGATTCATACATATCAATAGGGAAGAAAAGACAATCGCAACTTCCATTGCATGCCGACTTTAAGACATAATCGATTTAGAACATGATGTAATATGGCGGATAGCACAAGCAATTTTGGAAGCAACTTGCTCCTTTGTGCAATGTATGCGTCTCATTTCTTTTGCCCACCAGAAAGTGAAGCATTCTCATCCAGAGAAGACATTAATCTGAAGGGGAGGATGGAAATTTTAGAACAGACTTGAGTCCCTAGAGTGAAGGTGTGTCTCAGTGTTTGTCTGCTGCATGTGTGGGACATGTGTTCTGGGGTGTGCGCTGCTGCTCGTCTAACCTAGAAAAGCTCAATGAACTCTTTAGCAAAGGTTCTGCGCAAACTCCGACACTTTCAAAGCACACTCGTCGTTTCATAGTAACGTTATATTCAGCTCTGTCAGGATTGTATTCCACAGCTGCACTCTGGAAAAGTTTTGGTTTCCACACGAGAGAGCTTGATCCTGGAAATGGCCGAGGCTGTGAATGTTCCCCGTGAAATCTGCTTCCTTACTCTTTGTTTACATTAGCGAGGAGAGTCTGACTAACCCCTAAATTCTCCCCACCACAGCTGTCCCGACCACAGTGATGAATCGCCACCCCTAACATACTCATGACCTTACTGCTTCTGCATGACACTATACACTTACAAAGTGTCTCTTTTGTTTGTCTCTTTCTTCTTTTAAGCATTTATATTCCCCCTGCTTCTCCATAACCCGTAATCCTGGATCTCGCAGGAATTTGCCGTTAATTCTCATTTGGAGAGGTAAATTTGGATGTCTGTGGTGATTCCTGTTGCCCAGCTCCACCCCGCAGGCCGTTTCCTGTCAGAGGTCAGCACAATGACCAATGGCGTTGCGGCGTGTGTTTGTTCTGCTCCTGCTCCGGCGGTAACGTGAGCGGGGAGAAGCCCCTCCCTGGACCTTGAGCTTTGGCTTCAGGCCGTGGTGTTTCTGTAGATGCCGTCGTTTTCTCCACAACACTCCCTAATGTAAAAACCAGCCCTGTATGTGCAGGGCATGTGGATGCTTTCCAGCATTGGTCATAATTCTTCATAAGGTTCTGGTTGGAGCATTGCTGCACCCCATATATACATGGATAGCAAGTCCGTTACATAACATCTAACCCAGCGAAAACGTCCTTAAAACGAGAGTGCAGTCATTCAGAGTTCTGCATGTTATTCTTCCATCAACAGGATCTGTTCGCACAACAACAGCTTTGGACCACCAATGGAGAAGTATTCCTCGCAGAACAGCTTAGTCTTACAAGGCCTCAGAAATTAACAGGGGCCACCAAAATGAACAAAAATGCCTCGCAAATTCAAGATAAGAGGGCAAAAATTGGCCCTGTACAATTCAACTAAATCTATTGTGACTGTCGCGATTAATGTGAAAATGAATGAAAAGTGTTGATTGTGGCATTACAATTAGATCTGCTCATGTTGCATCAGGTTTCTTCTTGTTATTTTTTAAGTCTGCCGTTAGTCGATAATTGTATCCCTTAAAACTCATCTTTGATCACCAATATTACATATTTAAATGTTTTTTACTTGATAAAATCATTCATGCCTTAAAATAGCTCGAATGTGAATCTACACCCGTGCCTCATTTAGTATACGGGGTTCTATGAATATGCAAATTAGCCCCGCCTCCACTCACTCACACCAGCTCAGAGATCCACTCGTTGACGATCACACGTTCTCAACATATGATTGGTTACAAGGTAGTTTGTGACGTCAGAAACACCCGCGTTTTTGAGACTGTCTTTGGTTCACTGCGGTTTTAAGAAGAAAATAATCAGCAATGCTGTTTGCACATGGTTTGTCTTAAAGCATACTAAAAACACCACATAAGACATATAAATAACATTAAAAGCTTGATTTCACCACAGGGGGTCTTCAAGTCAATCAGAATACTATAGACTGTTAACGTTAATAAAAATTGCCCATACACATGTGTAAAAAAAATATGCCCATATGGATATCAGTATCAGGGGGCAAATTTTGACTCTTAATGGAAAAGTTAATTTCTGACCCTGGTCTTACTGCGCCATATTTCTAGACAAAACTACAGCACACATAGTATAAGCTTATAATAAACATAACGTTATCATCCTTTGATGTAGACGCTAATATAATTATCATTATAGTTCTTGTTCTCGGTGTAAACGGGCCTTGAGAGTTGTTGAAAGACTAGTTCAAAGACACGGCACAGTTCCCTCTATGTCTCGTATGTTTTCTTGAGTGGTCAGAGGAATGCACTGAATACAATCGCGATTGGGACGGACTCGAGACTATTCTGATCGCAGCATTTTTCACCCCCTATCTCAGACTTAGTTAAGTTTTTTCCTTAAGCCTCATTTTGTCCTGCTGTGCTTCTTTTTTTTTTCTTTTTTTTTGCCGCATATGGTCAGCAAAGAGCAAAAAACGTAAAGCCAATGGAATTTTAAATGACTCACACTGGCTTTCTTAGTCTCAAAGCTGCCTTTGCCTAAAGTATTTTTGCTCCAGACATTTCCATTTAAATATCACCCTTTGCTGTTTTAGCCTCTCCTGGTGTCCATACTGGACCTACTCCCTTTGTGTCTTCCTGCTCTCATTCCTGCTAAATTTTCTGTGGTCTGTTACTGTTGTAATCTTTTCTATTTTTCTCTCCCTCCCTAATTTTTAAGTCTCCCCTTCTTCTCGGCTGGGAGGAAGTGACCGACTAGTTTCTGGGTCTTTGGGGAACTGCAGCTCCCTTTCCTGTAACTCTTTCCGAACCTGAACTCATGTGCTGTTAGTACACGGTTCTCAATGGACCGCTACCCTTATAACTACCCTCAAGTAGTTCAGTGCACAGTATCATCCTCATCTATCTAAAGGTTGTGAACTTTTGTTGAGTATGTGCTTGACATTGTATGGCTTCATGTGTGGTTGGAAGGGGACATTTGTATTGTTGGCCCTAGACATAATTGTGTAGTTTGTAGGTGTCAATCTTTTGAGCGTCACTACAAAGCTAGCTATTGTTGTATGTGCATGATTAGCCTATTCAAAATAAATCGCTATCCACGATTTTATTTAAAGTACACTAAAAATCACGTTTTGTGACATGATATATGTACATGATATACAGTGTGGTCTACTGTATGTACAGTACAGTCTGAGACCACTGGTAAAAAAATCTATTTAGATTTGTTCTTATTTATTTTTGCCCATTCCAAAGATGTGGTCAGTATAATTTTTTTTTTTATGAAAGAAATCGAAAACTTATATTCGGCAAGGATGCATTAAATTGATTAAAAGTGAGAGTAAAGACATTTATAATGTTACAAAAGATGCTGTAAAAAATGCTGTTCTTTGGAACTTTATATTCATCAAAAAGTCCTGAAAAAATTCAACTGATTTCAACATTGATAATAATGAGAAATGTGTCTTGAGCACGGAAAATCCAGCTTTGCTTTTACAGAAATACATTACCGTACATGTTTGGTGCATGTTTGTTTACAGTAAACTTAAACTACTATAAGATTTTTGCTTTGACAATAATCTAAACTTTTAACTTTAAAGAGTTAAAAAGAGACCAACCATATGTCTGTATTCCACAGCATTTATGCATTACAACCATTTAAATTTGGATAGTGCATTTTCACGTCTATGCTCAAAAAGTGGGGTGACAGTTAAGGGGTTAAATTTCATTACTTTACATAAACTTTGTTTATTTCCAGATTTGATTTAGATTTTGAATCAAATTTTTAAAACTGTTTTGAAAAAAACCCCAATAATAATAATGGAACAAAGACAAATAAATGATGTCCATAAATTCACGACATATTTGCTCGTAAACCAGTAGTGAGAACATGCAGAAAAAGAAACCGCACGCTAAACCAGTTTATGATTACAGTAAGATTCTCTCTTTGTTTTCCAGAAAGAATGGGACTTTCTCCGCAGTGGGCAAATGAGAAGCATTACGTGTGTTTTAAAGGCAATCTCTCTCTTTTCCACATGCTCCTCCCAGCACTATATTAGAACCAGCTGTGGAGTTTGAGGCTGAATGAATGGCTCTTTGTGATTTGGCTGTCACTTCTGTATAAAGCTCTGTTTCTTTCCCCCTCTAGATACTGGCATGACAAAAGTGTTGGAACAATGTAACCTAATGTTCCTACTTTGACATTGTTACTCATATAAAAACATATCAATTCACCACTAAGACTGCATAAATGCGTTTCGGACATTGTTTGAGCTTTAGAAGAACGTGCACTTGACACATCAGAATAGTTTAGATGACCAGAAATGAAATGTCTGCATGAGATTTTGAGGATAATTTTCTAGTCATGTAGATTTTTATCCAGAAAGTTATTGAGCCCTGCTGTTGGGGAAGTCTTTGAGGTGGAGGAGTGTTTGTAAAGGTCCACGATGTTCTGGAATGTTTCTGGGTGCCGTCTGGTGTCTGGCAGGGGTGTGTCCGTGGGTTTGACTCGGTAGTACTCCGGACCAAAAAACACAGCGCAGAGCTTTCCCAGGCTCAGGACGGTATGCCAAGTAACATGTTGTTGTGGTTAAGGGATATGAAGGGTGTGTTGTGGTGGTAGGCAATGATGATACAGAGCCAAGACGAATTAGTCTCTCACAGAAGAGGCTTTTTTCGATCAGCAGTCGTGAGGAGTGGCTTCTCTGGTGTTCGAGATGACATTGAGGGTCTAAAACGAAGGGTGCGACCGAAATCATACAAAGAATCTGCCAATGTTAGTCACAGTTTGAGTTGTTCTTTAAATAAATCATCTTTTTTCCCCTTCAGGATTTTGGTGGCACCCGTAAGAGAGTCGCAGGAATCGAAAGAGGAGAGCGAGGAGGTCGGGGAAGAGAGACCATCATTGCAGCACAGTGAGTTAGAGGTCCTGCATTCTTGCATTCATGTTTTTCCCTTGTGTGCAAGAGCAAGGGAAAGCAGGGAAACCTTTTGCCTGCTGTGACAAATGCAACAAGGTGAGGTCAGGTGTGTGTGTGTGTGTGTCGGGACAAGATGCAAAAGTTGCAGGCAGGACGAAATATAACTTACTTTTAGCGGGAGTTGGGCCGGAATATCGCATAGACCTCTACAGTGAATTATTTAACTCTAACTGCTGTCTTTAGACAAGATACAAATTACTCAAGTGGCTCCCTTGAGTTTAAGGAGTCAATTTATTCCTGGTTTGTAGATAAGGATCCCAAATTCCACGTCATAGCCAAGAAAAGTGAAGCAGCTTGTTGCGAACTGACCTTGAAATTCACAGTGATAAAGGGACCTTTGAAGCATAAAACCCAAAAACCCCTCTATGTTTATCCGTTCCTCAGAAAGCTCGCTTGAGTGAAACTAATGACCAGACATTCTCCTTGACATGTTTTCATAATATGAAATGGGCTTTGAGGAATTGTGTTTTCCCGGCTCCACGAACATGGTAAAATTACTCCTACTAGCCACCAAATGTGGGCCCGATAAAAGATTTCCCTACATCCTCTTTCCTTCGATTGCTAATCTTAATAATGTGGCGGTGGGTGGGGGAGACCCTGATGGCAGGAGATGTCGACTTCCGCTGCTCTGGAATGTAAAGCGAGGGGAGTTGGGAGAGAGGTATGGAGAGAAGGGCATGGGTTTAGGGCAACACATTCCTTCTGGAGGAGGGTAGAGATCAGCATGCCACTGAGAAATGGCAGGGCGCTGCCGGGGAGGGGGGGCACACTGTGTTCTGTTCACCGTCATCTCAATGGGACAGTGTTTATGCGCAGACAGAGGAGGAGGAAGGTCACCGCCACACATGCACGCATGCCTCTGCGCAGTCGTAGCCGGTGAAGCCCTGTTCTTCGGCAGCAGAGGGTGAACGTGGTGGGCTGCAGAAGGGGATTGTTTGGGAGCATAAGGCACAGCACTGAAACGACAAGAGTCAGGAACACTAGTTTTCAGACAATAACTGACTTAATCCAATATGAATGGCCCTGTGTAAAATTTGCCTTCATAATGTTAATTCTTTCCCCCGCCATTAGGGTTGCCAACTTTCTGAAATGGAAATATAGAACGGGGGGGGGGGGGGGGTTATGGTATGTGGTAGTGACATGCCCCCTGAAATTCATACATTTTATATCATATTATAATGCAACTTATTAGGCCTATATATTTATAGAATAGCAAAGTAGGCTTAATCAATATACAAGATTTAACCACACAGATATATAAAGGCTATCATGATCATTTTGCAAAAAATGAACCATGTATTTGTTTAGATTATAATACGTTTTATTTTTAACTTAAACAAATACAACATATAACATTCGAAACTCATCGGCTTAGACTGCATTTGAAGAAAAATAAACACAACAGTTTTCTGTAGCCTTGTGCGAACTTATTCAATAGAATTAGACTTCTAGAATGTTCTTTCCGGTGCAATTTTTTTTTTTTTTTTTTTTTTTTTTTTTTTTATCATAGCCTACAAATGTCTTCGGAAACACATTTTACTCGATTTACTGAAGCCTGTAAAATGCATTTGCAGCTGCACAGCTTGGCTCTGGCTCGCTCAGGCTGCGCTGCGGAAACTGCACATCCAATGGCGCGGGCGCCTCTGACGTGCGACCAATGAGCCAACTCTACGTCATTACACATCAGAGCCCGTCAAGGTGGCGCCAAGTCCCCGAATTTGCCATTATAGCAGCGGGTCTTCGTTCATTCATCATAGTCTGTCTGACATGCGTCAAGCTATGCGTCTGTCATGGATTTGCACTGAATTGATTCTCAAAAATACGGAACAAAGTGCGTTCCGTATCAGTTCAATACGGAACAAGCCTTTTATGTGTCAAATACGGAACGATTCCGTATTATACGGAACGGTTGGCAACCCTACCCGCCATTGACGGACATTTCCGTAATTTATGAGACAATGCTTCCCTGCCATTTAAAGGCCCCCTGTGGTTAAAATCAAGACTTTTAATGGTGTTTATATGTCTATGTACTGTTTTTAATGTGCTTTAATGTGCCATGTACAAATTCATAAGTCAGTCACCATTGCTGAGTATTTTCTCTTTAAAACGGCAGTGAACCAAAGACACTCTCCAAAACGTGGTTTGAAATCACTGGTGTTTCTGACGTCACAAACTACCTTGAAACCCATCAGATCAATTTGATAAATTCTTCAATTTTATCACCGAGTGGATCTCTGAGCTGGTGTGAGTGAGTGGAGGCGGGGATAATATGCATAATTATAGAACCGTGTATACTAAATGAGGCAAGGATGTAGAGTTACATTCAAGCTATTTTAAGTCATGAAGAATTTTTTATCAAGGAAAAAATGTTTAAATGTCATTTTGGTGATCAAAGATGAGTTTTAAGGGATAAAATTATTGACTACAGGGGGACTTTAAAGGTGCAAAACGCAGGTTTCTGAGTTTTTGCAGAACTACGCCCCCTCTGGCGACAAGCGAAACTGCAACCAGAGTTGTGCACGCTCATAGACCACACGCACACGCACGCATGCACGAGCTGTTCATAACTAAAGGAGCATCTGCTGTACAGATCTTTGGTGTACAGTACAGCCAAAATGTCTTCAGAGGTAATAAAGTTATAAATCTGCAAGTCATTTCAAATATATGGAAGTAAAGACATTTGAGTAAATTACTCTTATGTGTGAGGGGAAAACGGGGGTAGTAGAAAACTTTGTTTATGTGTTTACTGTACCTATCCACCTATGATTGTATTGTTATGAAAACGCGTTCATGAACAATATAATTGATTACTTCGCAATTGTTCAAAATAATAATCATACCGTACACGGTTGGTCAACAACGTTCACTCAAATGTCTCAAGGTAATAAACAATCAAATGTCACCATGACGTTTTCATAAAAGCCAAAACAGGCTAAGCTGCCGAAGACTTGCGGGGTTCAGCCTGTTGTATTGATCTGAGAATATTCCAATAACAATACATCCTTTTTCTGTTAGAATTTACTCAAAATTTGTGTCTAATTATCGGTCATATTTTTCAGCATGTTATCACACTCAAGAATCTTGAACTGTTTTGCTAATCACTAAACTACATGTAGCGCTGATTTATTTAGTAGATATTTTGACAGGGACAATACACACTGACAAACATTAATGTGAAATGTGTCAATACTTGTATTGACACATTAACATGTATTTTATCACAATACCAAAATATTTTACGGTTTCCTCGTTTTGATAGAATACGAGCTCTGACCAATTTGATGTTACTGTGGAGAGAAGCACTGAGGATAGCAGTGACAGCAGTGAAAGGATTTACAATTTACTATTTTTACCGAAAAAGACAATATAGCCAATGCAACGGCGTTCTTCCTTGTTGGTCCGAACACAATTCCTAGTTTATGAAACTGTTCACTGACAATGGTATAAAATCAATTCTGATTGTATATGTATCTAGCTTACGCTAAAGCATTACACATTTTACGCATCGTCATTTGTTGTCATACATAGATTGGCCGTATCAAACATTAGAGACTGGGCTATATCTTACCGTTTTATCAAGAAAAAAGCCAACTGAGGATCCCGTTTGAGACCAAGAGCAGACCGGAGATCTCTCCATTTCCCGAGGTTGACTCTCGTCTTACTCCGACGCCTGTCTGACTCCAATTTGGCCCTTTTGGTGGCACTAGACAAATTTTTTCTTTTTTTTTACTTTACGTGGAGTTTGCGTTGCGGTTTGGAATGGACTACAAGCCGGTCTCTTTGAATCCATCTTCTAATTTTGACGCACGAGTTGTCCGCTGATGCGGAGAATGGCGGCGCCGGCGAATACACAAACTTGCGAGACAGCCTGGTGAGCGTGAACGCGCATGACGTCACGCCCAGTCTCAAATTCGAGCCCGAATCCCTCTTACATATTTTACTCTACAGGATTATAGAGGCAATCTCAGTAAGCAGAGAAGGGCTCATTCAGCCCATCAGGCAGTTCTTTAAGCATGTATAGGAAGAAAAACAGGTATTTTTAACATGAAAAGTTGCGCAATGCACCTTTAAGAAATGTTCTGACTTTCCGTGTTTTCACTGTTATACGATAGGGGGCGCTATTACACTTCTTCTGAAAGAGTACTGAATCTCCGGATCAAAACACAGGCGAAACAGAAACAGAAACAAGGGATATGTCAGCAGATGCATCATCAACATTAAACAGCCAACATGACATCATGACTTTGCGTAAACATACACGCCACTTTCAAGTCAAGTGGCGTGTTATCTATACGCATTTTGAGCTATCCGCGTATATATTTACGCCGAAATCTTTTGCGTGTATGTCTACGCCATTAAATGTCCGAGTGATTCCGCGTGTATGTGTACGCCGTTAGATGTCCGAGCGAAACGAAGCAAAATCTATATCTACATCTGTGGAGCGATATTTCTTTTCCTAGGATGGTAGGAGAAGACTCATAAATGGTATTAACCCCAGTGACTGGTAGGTTTAGGGACGGGGTTGGGGTAGGTCATATATTTATATATACATAATACAGTAATGTAACGTTAAGTCAAAGGCGTTGATAAACACGCTGAAAAACGATTATACGTGTTGATAGCACGCCAAAAATGGAAATACGAATTGGCGTGTCATACATATGCCATTTCATGAGATCAGTCTGAAACAGCATATAAATCAAAACTGTCTAATGTTACTCAGGACGAGCTATTATAGGACCGTGAAGCTTTGGGGGTGTTGATGGACTCGATCTGCTCCATCTGTGTATTGATCATCATTCTGATCCAGATGTAGTCTTTGACAAAAACGTGATTTGCTCAGCTTTTTGCTCCAAATTTGAGATGGTCCTCACTGCAGAACCTGAAATCCTCCTACCTTACATATACCTAATCCTACCCATCTCCGCCCCCTGATCCCTAACCCCACCCCTAATCCTACCCAACTCCACCTCCTGATCCCTAACCCCACCCCTAATCCTACCCATCTCCGCCCCCTTATCCTAACCCCACCCCCAATCCTACCCATCTCCACCCCCTGATCCCTAACCCCACCCCTAATCCTACCATCTCCACCCCCTGATCCCTAACCCCACCCCTAATCCTACCATCTCCACCCCCTGATCCCTAACCCCACCCCTAATCCTACCCATCTCCACCCCCTGATCCCTAACCCCACCCATCTCCACCCCATGATCCCTAACCCCACCCATTTCCACCCCCTGATCCCTAACCCCACCCATCTCCACCCCCTGATCCCTAACCCTACCCATCTCCACGCCTTAGATCTGGATCCAACTCTGCCCCCTGGATCTCGTGTACTGCAATGAGGTGCTACTGCCAAATTTAGCTTTTTTATGTAACCTACCCACATTAAATTGTTTAAAAAAACTAATGCAAGAAGCTAGAATATAACTTTTTTTTTGTTTATTCTTTCTTTGGATATGTTTCATGGTCAGATATTCATAAAACAAAATATTTTGGGGGCCATGAAAAATTTGTCTGGCAATTGTTTGAAAAACGCTGGCTGGGAAAGAGTTAAGGAGTTGTGTGATTGGTTTCCAGGGTGTTGCTATGTGGTTGCTAATGTGTTGTAAGTGGTTTAAAGTCGTTTGTTGTTGCGCTGCAGTTTTCTTGATGGTTGCTAGAGCATTGATATGCGGCTGATAAAGTATTCTGAGTGGCTTTTAGCATGTTGCTATGTATGCTAGATAGGGCTGAATGATAATCAAAATAAAATTTGACATAAGTGTGATTTAGAAAATCGCAAAGGCTGCGATTAAATAATTAATTGTACAATGCAATGTGATTAAATGTACGCACAGCATGTTTCGGAACGAAGTGCAGCATTGTTTTTTTTTTTACACACGTGTAGCTCATTTTTTATTTTCTTAACTCTAAATATGAACAATACTAATAGAGATGTTAGAATAATAGTAGAGCAGAGAAATAAAAGTAAGAAACTGGTTGGAAGAGAGCAAGGGTGTTTGTAACATAGCGAAAGAGACAGAAGTTTGTAGGCTACGTCATTGCTGAGGGCTGGATGTTTGTCATGCTGTGTGCCTTTACTGGAGTCTCTAATTATGGCTTATCAACCGCCCCCCTGTCAGCATCGCACTGACACTCACTTTTCACACGTACACTCACAAATCTGTGTGTTAGCGCTCACAATCACACACACCCTAAACATTTTCTCAAGCGTACTCAACATTCATCTGTGGCTGTGGCAGGGGAATAAAAAAAAACACTAATTAAGATGCTATTGACTTGAGGTCTGTGTACCTTTGGATAATTTGTTTTCTCATTTTTGTCAGTTCAGTTAATTTATCACATATTCAACCCTTCTCGTTATTATAAACAAATGTTTTTGTTTGTTCCCCCGTTAAATGGGTGAGATGTCAAGTGTAAGAAAGTGAGCAAAAGCACACAAGATGGATAGTGGGCAAGAGTGCTTATTTTGTCGACTTAAGATCTACAAAATACCAAATCAGTTCAGTCAGTTTCCGTATGCCCTACTTTTCCCCTGAAAGAGGCAAGAATATAAACAGACTGGGAGGGTCATGAGATTAGAAAGAGGGGAAAGATTTGTGTGAGGCAGCAAGGGTGAAGCAATTTCCCATTATGAACTGAAATGACTGGAGCAGTCAGCAGTTCTCTAGATGTATGTGAAGCCCAATTCTGTGGTCTAAAATGTTGTTAATGTTGGGAACAGAGATAGCCCATGGCACTGCTGTCCCCTACACACACAAACACTAACTAATGACCTAGAAAGTTAATCTTTGGCAAAAAGGCACATTAGCTGAGAAAGATGCAATGCTGAGTGGACATAAAAAGCCAGATGAAGATAGTGAAAAAACAGTTAAAGAAAGGCCTATTCATGTAATGCATCGGTTTCATTTTATCTAAACGATTTAAGGCTGACTTCCTTTCTTCTGGTGCAATAGGCAACTGAGAGAGCGGAAGAAGAAAGAGCCGGCAGAGGTCAGCTGCTATCTCCTGATCATCAGCTGACAGAGTAAGGAAAAATAAGGGAGAGAAAGGGAGATAAAAATCATGGAAAAAGTGTGGGAGAGAAAGGCAGAGCAATAGTGCCTGTGTCTGTGTTTTTTACAGTACCTCAATTCTGAGAATCACAGAGAGCGTATTCAGATGATTCCTAATAAGGCTGTAACTAGACGCTCTTTCTTCTGTTGTCGCCTGCCAGAAAACTTTCCCCTCTTTCTCCCCTCTCCACCAAACAAGAGAACTAGGAACAAACAGAAACTGAACAGTAAAGCCCAAGTATACTTCGGTTTTTTTTACGTGAACGTTTGCGTATGTGTACAGTTGAACGCGTAACCTTTCAAAGTATAGCCTACTCCATGTGATAGCATGTGCAAATGCTGGTGGTCAACACATGTGCTCTAGAAAGTTTGATCTTTGTCCAGTGTCTGCACTATTTTTCTCCAGAAGTTATGACCGATAAAAATGTTTTTGTATTCTTTTAAACTAAAGTTGCTGCTATCTCATAACGCCTTCACACAAGCGCTTGTCACTGCAGCCGTCTGTTGTTTTTACAGTCTTTTCTTCCCTATTGTGACCAGTGTCGGGGAAAGTTACTGCTAAATGTAATGCATTACAATATTGCCTTACTCTCTAAAAAAGTAACTACTGTAATTGCGATACTTGGTTACTTTTTATGGAAAGTAATGCGTCACATACTTTTGCGTTACTTTTCCTGATCTAAGCTGGGCTTGCTTATTTGATTTTTAATAACAAAAAATATATATTTTTGGCTAATCTACTTTTGGCCCTTTCAGACTGAAAGTGATCTGAATAAGCCTCAGGCTGAAGGAAATGCAAAATTTACTCCTGGGGGTGCAGCTCAAACAATATGTAATTTATTTATTTATTAAATGAAACACAAATGTGATGTTTATCTAAAGTCATTTTTACTTATTAGTATGTTTGAATTGGATAATCAAAGGTCAGCAGCAAAGACATTGGTTATAAAGTGAGATTAAATCCATAAAGTATATTTGTGTAAGTTAACATTTAATTATTGCAGGTTTGCATAATATTCTGAGTTTGCATTTTACTGTTTTTAGTCATTTTGAGAAATACAGAATGTTTTTGTGCAAGTGAGATACATTTAGCCTACAGTAACCATCATGTTTACACAGTGCACACAACTCCTCTGCACTTACAATTCTCTCATCATGAGGACAGAAGAGCTGTCAGTCAATACATGGGAAAACAAAGTAACTTGTGTTACTTATTTGAATAAGTAACTCAGATATTTTGTTGTAAATTTAGTTACTTGAAAAGTAATCTGATTGCATAAAAAATTACAGGTGGCACTTGATTTTGTCCTCGGGGAATTGATTGCATTGTTGCTGTTTGGTATTACTCATGTGAGTGACAGGTTGCTGGAGGGGAAATGTTATTGTTCCACTCTTGCACCGGTGAACACGTCATCAAGTTCACATAAATAAATAAAAAGTGCATGTATAAATCATTTATAAGAAATAATGCAATATTTCATTAAAAAAGGTTACATTTTGATTTTATGGTGACTTGAGTTTTGAGTGAGACTTTAAAGATTTTTGAGTGAGGTCTAGTAGCTGGCCATAAATCTCACGAGTTTATTGGGAAAATACTAACAATATTTCTCTTATCCAGGAGAGATTGGCTGGTGAATGACAATCATGGCTCAGGTGCTTCATATGGACTCCAGTTTTCCTGGTAAGATCCCAATTTTAAGTTGTATACTGCACATAATGTAATGTTTATATTTTGTGATTGTATTATCCTTTCCCTAGTTCATCCGCACTTAAGAGACTAACTAGTAAAGTAAATCCTTGATCTGATCATAGCGTAAAGTTTATTCTTTTTCCTGTTGTCTGATTCCGAGATTAGACAAAGATTTCCTGCAGTTAAAAATTTGTTTCCTCTGTCCTTAGGGAAGATTAACCCCCCGGCACCCCCCTCCTTGCATGGAAAGGAACAAGAGGCTCCATACTCAGTAGAGACCCCCTACGGCTACCGTCTGGACCTGGACTTCCTCAAGTATGTCAATGATATTGAGAAAGGAAACACTATTAAGAAGGTGCCAGTGCAGCGGCGCCCACGTTACGGCTCACTTCCACGTGGCTACGGCTACACGGGCTCCTGGTGGACCTCCACTGAGTCACTGTGCTCCAATGCCAGCATGGACAGCCGCCACTCGTCATACTCCTATTGTGCGCCGGGCTTCCACAGCACACAGCGGCCCAACTTCAGTACGGCACGTGTGGAGAAGACCTTGCTGGATGCTCGCCGCAAGCTGGAGGAGGAGAAGGATGGCCGTCGTTTCTCGAACCTGGGCAGCATGCACAGCAGCGTTGGTGGCTCCAACACCTCCCTGTCCAGTGCGCACAGCTTCAATCGTGCCCAGGGAGGTGGCTCCTATACGCCAATGAGCTCTGGCTTGTCCACACCCGTCTCACCGACACCTGCCCATCTGCAGCATGTGCGGGAGCAGATGGCCGTCGCCCTGCGGAAGATCCGGGAGCTGGAGGAGCAGGTAAAGACCATCCCGGTGCTGCAAGTGAAGATCTCCGTGCTTCAGGAGGAGAAGAGGCAGCTCAGTGTGCAACTAAAGAGCCAGAAGTTCCTGGGGCATACGCTGGGGTTCAGTCGAAGCCGTCCAAGAGGAGACCTTTACATCGACATACCCGAGGAGGAGGCGGGAAATGGGGCAGGAGTCTCGAACAGAGCCACAGGGAGTCTTTCACCTACCACTCCGGGCTCCCTCCAGGACTCAGGGTGTGAAATCGAGGAGACTGTAATTGTCAGTGGAGCTCGTCCAGGTGCAAGGCGGGAGGTGCGAACCGTCGGTGTGGGGCCTGAGGCGGAAGAAAGGAGTTATTGTCAAGTAGGAGTAGGGGTGCGAGAGGAAGACTTGGGGCTTCTGCCTGAAACTGAAGCCCTCAAGACTAAGGTGGGGCTTTTAGAAGTTCAGCTGAGGGAAACGTTGCAGAAGCTACAGAGCGCTCAGCAGCAAGTCGAAGGGGCTCAGAGAGAGAGACAGGCTCTTTCCCCTCAGGTAGACCATGCAGTGAGAGCCACTAGTCTCGGCTGGCAGGAGCAGCAGGGTCAGGCTGGTGCCGGCCTGCACACTGTTGTCAGTTTTACACAGCAACCTCATCAGCAGAGGACCGTGGGGATCCAAGTGTACACGTTGGAGCAGCCCACAGTGGTGGGTGTGGGGAAGCTGCTAAGAGCCCAGAGTTGCAGTTCTCCCGCTCAGCCCTTGTCTGTACCGGAGGGGCCCCACAGAAGACATGCAGAGTCCCCTGCAGCTGAGGGTGTGTATGAAATGGCATCCAAATATACATTCACATACTGAAAACAACATAAACACTACACATGTAATTACAAACTTTTGTGTGCCATTTCAACTATTTAAGGGTTCACCATTTACTCACCTTCATGTCGTACCAAACCGATTGACTGATCGATTTCTTCTATGGAACACGAAAGGATGGCAAATATTTTTGTTGCTCTTTCCTTTACAATGAAAGTAAATTGGGACAGATACTCCTGAAATTAAAAAAGAAAGTATCATAAAAGAACAATGAAAGTTGTCAATATTACTTATTCCCTATATTAGTGTTCTGACACCATATGTTAGCCTACTTATATTCTGATATGGAAGACACAATGTACCAGGGTTAAAAGTAATAAGGGTTGAACCTCATTGGTTGATGCATGTCGTAGCCATTCTCTGTGCCAGTTATGAATTTGCAAATTTGGTCTGTTCCTTACTTAAAGCGGTTGCATGGATTTAGAAGGCATCAGAATTATAGCACATAAAGGGGCGGTCACATTACACTTTTCATTCCTTTAATTTTCATCCACACACAAGTGAATTTGGGACAGCGGAAACACAAGCTTTGCAAAGCATTTCAAAGCATTAGTTCAAGTTTGGTGAACTGACTAATTCTTATCATGTGAAGACGTATAACCAATAGAAGATTCATACGTTACAGCGTGACCTTAGCTGAATTAATGAAACACAAAGTTTAAAGCTGCGCAGGTCTTCAGTAAAGTGGAGCAGGTTGTGTATTTTTACATTTTGGATTGATTATTGTTTGTTATATGTTGAATTTTTATTTTTTAAAAAGGCACCACCAAGCATGACGTTAAATCACGTTAGTGTTTTTGCATGTTAAAAGTCTAGTGTGCACCCCCCTCCCCCCCTAAAAAGGGACAGTTTACTCAAAAATATAAATTCTGTCATTAATTACTCACCCTCATGTCATTCCAAACCTGTAAGACTTTCGTTCATCTTTTGAACACAAATGAAGATTTTTTGATGAAATCTGAGAGCTTTCTGTCCCTCCATTGACAGCTAAAGTTCATAAAGAGATCATAAAACTAATCCATATGGATTGAGTGGTTTAGTCAAAATTTTCTGTAGAGACTTGACCGCTTTATAGGATGATCAGATTGAATTTAGGCTTTTATTCACATATAAACATTGATCAGCGAAAATAAATATTTATCACACGAGAATGAACCTCATTGGTTGTTGCACATCAAGCGAACATGCTTGAGCTTCCGTTAACCACAACTGATATGTGTGAATAAAAGCCTAAATTCAAACTGTTAACCAAATAAAGCGATCGTGTCTCTTCAGAAAATTTAGGCTAAACCGCTCAATTCATATGGATTAGTTTTACGATCTCTTTATAAACTTTTTGAAGCGTCAAAGTGGTAGTTGCGTAGCTGTCAATGGAGGGACAGAAATATCTCTGATTTCATCAAAAAGATCTTCATTTTTGTTTTGAAAGTCTTAAGGGTTTCATGAGGGTGAGTTATGACAGAATTTCATTTTTGGGTGATCTAACCCTGTAAGTCAGTTGGACTACTTTTATAGTGCTTTTTTTTTGTCACTTTTGGAGTTAGACCTATGTCCTTTTTCACGTTCACAGTATTGAAAATAGGAGCATGGATGTTCTGCCTTTTTTCTTCTTTTTGTGTTCCACAGATCAAACAATCATCCCTTAAATTATTTTAGCAGTTGTGCTAATTTAGACTGTTTCTGTTTTGTCCTCAGAATTACCACGTGAGTTTCCCATTGCAATAAGCTCTAAGCAGGTGCGGGAGGTCTTGAGAAGCGAAGTGTCCAAATCAGTACCAGTGACCAACCAGGCAACCGCTATGGAGACAAAGTGCAGCCAAGTTGCTGCTGTCTGCCAACGGCTAAATGAGGGAGATATTTACCAGCAACCAGCAGAAGAAGCCATCCAAATCGATCCATCAAAACCAGGTTCGCTTTGAGTAACTGGTGATAACAATGAATCAGACGTCTTCCATATATTTAAAGTAGTGATTCTCACGATGTCCACTTTGTTTGTACTGTCCAGCCTCCCCTCAGTCCACACTGAGGTCAATCATGAAGAGAAAGGCTGATGGGGAACCTGGCTCTCCGTCCACTAAAAAGAACCTGCAGTTCATAGGAGTCAATGGGGGGTAAATACAAAATTATGTTTATTAAATAAACAATAAGATATGTTGCAGTTTTTGTGTTTTAACAATATTAGCATTGAACTATCTATTGTTCTACCTCACATTTTGTGACAATCGGAAGAACGAAATGCCTCTGTAAAATGAAAAGAACAACCACTTTCCCCCTTTAATAATAAACATAACGAGTGATATCGTTGTTTTCATTTATGTGCAACCTATACATATCTATTAACATCTCAAGTAATGTGTTTTAGGGTTTCATGACCCTTTAAGGAGAATATTTCTCAAACATTTTGGTTACGTTTTTTTTCCCTTTGCATTCAGACTCAATTCAGACTTTTTGGGGATAATTTAATGTGGATGTGCTAATTAAGAAGTTTTAGATTAAACTAAAAAACAAAATGTGTCAAGTACAAAGTACTTAGAATCTATTATTTTGCTGTCTTGCAGCACTTTTGCTTCCATCAGGAACTACACATCTAGTTTAGATTATCCATTTAGGATCAATTTCATAAGATCAGAGGGTTTTATGTGAGTATTTTGCAGAAATCTAGTATAAAACATCACTATTGTGCTCTGCAGGTACGAGTCGACATCCTCTGAAGAGAGCAGCTCGGAAAGTTCAGAAGATGAGAGTGATGCAAGCGAATACCACGAGGCTACAGAGAAACTGCCGGATTCTGCGGCACAGCCATCTCAGGTGACCTCCTGCATCCTGCAGCCCACCTCTCAGACAGAAGATGCCCAAACACCTCAGCAAAGCACTGCCCAGCCACCAGCCAATCACACTGCAGCACAGCTAAGCACCAGCCAATCACATGCCACGGATGCAGCTACCCAGCAACAGGTCACCCAGTCACCAGCAGCAGAGGCAGACATACAGCACTGTGTGAGCCAATCGTCAGTGACCACCACGGCTCATCCGGAGGGTGTCGTTCAGTCCACAGAGTTCAAATGCGTTTTTCAAGTGCATACCTCTGAAAGCCCTGCCGTTTCTCTTGAACAAAACTCTGTCCAGTTATCATCCACCAGCATTGCAGTGCAGCAATCCAAAGCCACTGATTCAAATGTCCAGCCAGAGGTTTCAGACCTCGCTGCTCAACAGACGACAACTCAGTCACAATCCACCGGTGCCAAACCTCAGCAAGAGGTTAGCCAATCAGAAACCGCTGACCTCAACTCCCAACAGGGAGCAACGCGTTCACAATCTACTGATGCCTCAGCAAAACAGGACATAGCCATATCCTCCGCCACTGACACAGCAGCTAATAAACAAGCAAGCAGGTAGTTTGACTCAAATCAGTGACACAAGCTATTACGAGATTCACTGTTGATTATATAAGTTGGCAAGCATTTTCTCCTTCTTTTCAGGCTGGAATTGAGTGGCAGTCTCATGACGGCCCTCCACACCTTGCAGAAGGCCCTCAGCGAACCAAATGCATTTAGCCATCAAGACGCGGTATGTTCGTCAGTTTTGTTTTTATGATTATAAATGACGGATGTCATAGTTCATATCTTCAAGATTTATTTAAGGTTGTTTTAAAAGTTTGGAAGTGTAGTATGTAATGATTTTGCTTAGAAACTTTCTGATTTCTGCAATGTGGAAAAACGTGGACGGAATTGCAGAATCCAGTCATGAAACTGAATTTACAGTATAACGTGGAATATCACAGGATATGGCAAATTTTGGATGAATTTAGTTAAAAGTAGGGCTGTACAGACTATCATATTGTCATGTCATTTATACACACAGAAGCTCAAAGGTCTTCACGACAACCCCTTCAAAATCAAAATTTGGTTTAACTTGAAGAAATTGTAGCAGAAGTACTTTACTACTGTACATTAGAATGTGCTTCTCAATGTAATAATAATAATACTTTTTTAAAAATGTTAATTTTAAGGAATATCACACAATTGACCGTTCGCAAAGACCCGCCCCCCTTAGTTACTGTCGCTATGTCCGACAAGCTACGCTGCTCTCACACACACACCATGTTCTCACCCAGTGAAAAAAATACATCGCGGACTGACAACACGCTGACAGACAGGACAGACCAGGTTACTTTTCGGTTACTTTTGATATTAAACATATTAAACAAAGTCTCACCTTTCAAATTTGGTCATTTTTTAAAAAGAAATTTAAACAATAAATACCGTTTTGTGGCTCTTTAATGTGTCGTGACAGATCGCTGTAGAGCATCAGTTAAAGCTGCTCGTGATCCGATCATCTCTTCCTTCTAGTTCATTTATAGCATCAAATAAACATGAATGAACATAAGGAGGAATGTTGTTTTGACCGCAGAAAGGCGTCAGTACCATAGGTCAGTACACTCCGTTTTTCAAGTTCAAATCCTCCCATGTTAATCTACTAACTCTCCTGACTGCTTTGTCGGAAAAAAATGGCGGATGGCGAAGTATGATTGGTCAGATCACCTGTCAATCAAGCTCCCTGCGAAGGGTCAATTATAGTCCCTGTTTTCATTTTAACAGTAAAGCTCTTTTGTGCAGCACTTTGTTTGGCAAAAAGGAATTAAATTTTCAATTCATTTAAATTTTAAAAGATTAATTGAATTATGCCTTCATTTTATTACCACCTTTTTCTGCTAATACATTTGTATTAAATATAAATCCAGAAAAATTCAAATTGATTAAAAATCGATTAGACATGCTTTTTGTTTATTAAAATGTAATGAAACCAGAAAAATATAGAAACGGGGAAAATAAAACTGAATTTTGTTAAAAAAAAATCTAGTTGATTTCATAAGGCCCTGGTATTTGCAGCATCTCCAACTGCATCACAGTCATTTCCATTGTGATCGGTGATGCTTTTAAAATATTAGGCAAGAATCACTATTGTTATTGCTCATTTTACAGTATTTCCCACCTAAAACTTTGCCATGGACCACGTCCCACACTCTTTGTGCGACAGGCATAAATATCTGAAAAACTGGGGATCAGAATATCATACAGACTTGAGGCAATGCCTGGGCTGTTGTCATTCCAGCTCCAACATAGTGGTGGCAAATTGTGCATGGACAAGCACCACCCACATTTTCTAAAGTAAATCCCAAAAATCAAGCTATTTTTTGCAATTGCATTTTGATGATGCAGAAATGACACACTTCACATCTAAAATAGAGTTGTTAAATTCCATTAATTGAACATGACCTGTTTATTGCAAGACAGGGCATTAAAAGCCGTTTGTGTCTTGTCTTGTGTTGACAGAGGACGGCCTACACCAGCGTGCTGCAGGAGTGGCTCAGAGTGTCCTGTCACAAGGCTGCTGACACTGCAGTTGTCAAGGCATACATGGACACCTTTGCCTCCATTTCCCCGCAGCTACTGGAGTTTGTCATCAACATGGCTGACGGCAATGGAAACACAGCTCTGCACTACACTGTCTCTCACTCCAACTTCCCTGTAGTTAATCTGCTGCTGGGAACTGGTGAGTGACGCTCCTCGCATCTCCGAGCAATCCTCACTGCTGCTGACACACTGTTTTCGTACGTGCTTTGTCACATTACGTCTTTTCTCTCCCTAGGCAGTGGATCTGTAGTTCCCAGCATGCTTTGCTAGGGACTGCATTAGGAGAGTGAATTTAGGGACTAGGTGTCATTTTAGGTGTTTTTCAGTAAAGGGAAAGACATGCTAGTGTTTAATATCAGTTATGTTGGGCGTTTAGCAGAGTTTCTGTAATGTGCTGAAGAGTGAGTAATATTTATTTATACTAATGTCGGTACTGACAGTAATTAAACCTCAGTAAATTAGGAAAAATAATTAAGTTGGATCAACATAAAAAAAATGCAGTTTGACAAATGTAATAGTTAAGTTAAACATACTGCAGTAAATTAATTTGACCTAAACCAACTAAATTGAGTTGACCCAACTAAAGTGATTTACTTTGAATTAAATAAATTAAATTGTGTAAAAACTTTCTTCAGTTAAATTAGGGTAACACTACATTAAAAGTAACAATAATATTTCATTATTAATATTTCAAATATAAGGTGGTTTACACTGTGTTAAATTAATAAATTAATTGTAGACTGCATTTCTTTTAGTGTTCACTTGTTTCATGTACACTTGAATAGTTCAAAGGTTTGGGGTGTGTAAGATTTTTTTAATGTTGTTGAAAGAAGTCTCTTAAGCTCATCAAAGCTGCATTTATTTGGAATAAAATTAGGACAATTATTAGGAATAAAAAATGTTTTAAATCCTACTGACTCCAGACTTTTGAACAGTAGTGTACTTGTTGTGGCCAAAAATATGTCCGTACCTTTTATTTGCCATGTGACAGAGCTATATCTGTACCTCTTATTTATCAGCTGTCCTTGTTTTGTAGGCCTCTGTAATGCTGACAAGCAGAACAAGGCTGGTTACACGGCTATCATGTTGACAGCTCTGGCTGCCTTCAACTCTGACGGTGACCTTCAAACCGTCCTACAGCTGCTCTGCACAGGCGACGTCAATGCCAAAGCCAGCCAGGTGCGCCCTCTTCTGGTCAATCACTATACTTTAACATATGTCAGTCACTGTGTGATCTGTATTGTCCTGATGCATGTGTGTGTGGTAGGCAGGGCAGACGGCACTGATGCTGGCGGTCAGTCATGGCAGAGGGGACATGGTGAAAGCTCTGCTGTCCTGTGGAGCCCAGGTGAACCTGCGTGATGATGACGGCTCCACGGCGCTCATGTGTGCCTGTGAACACGGTCACGTGGATATCGTGCGGCAGCTGCTGTCTGTGCCAGGCTGTGATGCCACGCTCACTGATAATGTGATTATTTCTTTGTTCATCAAGCATAATCCATTCATCCATTACATTCTGTCTTTCTTCTTTAGCTTTTTTTTGCATCTTAAGTGTGGTATACTATATTTTAAAACTTTTAACTGACTTTTTATTCAACTTGGAAGGCAAATGTTATTTCCTTTAGCTTGAAGGTATAAACATTTTTTTTTAAACCAAATGAAACCAACATGAATACATTTCTAAGAACTTGCCACTTGTGTTTTAAACAAGATTTTTAAAAGATTTTTTACTTTTTCGGTAACACTTTACAAAAAGGTTCCATTCCTTAACCATTAGTTAACTGCACTATAGCAATGACGAATACTTCTAAAACAGTTATTCATCTTAGTTTGTCTTAATTTCAACATTTACTAATACATTATTTTAATCAGTGTCGGCTAATTTTAAAATAGAGGAAGCACTCTAAATTGTAGCGGTCTGGAGATCCCCTCCTAAGGATTTTTTTTCTCAACTACTTTAAAATAGCTTTTTTGTTCACTTCTAGTGAAATGATACATAAACAGCAATACCAAGACTATCACTTGAAGCAAAAATCCATCTTTCTGTCCTTTTAAATGCCGTTTAAGGAAGCTGATTGCTTTAGCCTGTCTTAGGCATGTGGTCTTCCTTCATTTTTTATTTGTAGCTGCTGTTTAAATGGCGAGCGGTTCGAATGCCAATTTGTTGGCAATCAAATGTTCATATCTCTACTCATAATGAAGGTAGATGGTACATTTCCCATTGTATCACTTATTACGTCTCTAAGATGATTGGTTGCCATAACGCACAACCGGCACATCCGGGAACTTAACTGTCAATTTCGTCCCCGCCCCTTTTTGGGGGAAAACAAACTAGACTTCCCATAGACTTCAATACAAAATAACGGCAAAAACCAACGTCCGTACACAGCCGACAGGAGTAAATAACTTAAGAAATCACTTATATAAAACATGTCAAGTAATTATATGTCCACCCTGCCTGCCATAGAGCGTAAAAGATACATACACAAACTTAATTTGGTCAATTTAAAAACATGTCCGTTTATTCTCCCAGCGTCAAATTGGTGTAACAACCCCACCCAGTGAGGTTATATATATTATAATGTATATTATAAGACAAAATACATATATTTAAAGACGTTTACTTTCAAAAACGAAGTAAAATCATTCACTGGCTTACCATATGGTGACTCGATGAAGTACGATACGAGTAAATGTCAGGGTAAGACCATAGACAGTAAAAGAAAGACACCTCTGGCCACTGGGTGTGGTTGTTACACCAATTTGACGCTGGGAGAATGAAGGGACATGTTTTTAAATTGACCAAATTAAGTTTGTGTATGTATCTTTTACGCTCTATGGCAGACAGGGTGGACATATAATTACTTGACATGTTTAACCTTAATGATTTCTTAATAAGTTATTCACGCCTTTCGGCTGTGTACGGACGTTGTTTTGTGACGCTATTTTGTATTGAAGTCTATGGGAAGTCTAGTTTATTTCCCCCAAAAGTGGGCGTGAATCTGTTCAGAGACATTCTATGACGTAGCGCCGGTTGTGCGTATTGTCTTTTTTTCCTAAACACTTTATTTGATTAAAGTGAAATAATCGAGGGTGATTGGAAGAGCGGCGGTGGTTCTGACTTCAGTAATATTTTACGGTGTTACAGTTGTGAAATTACAAACAAGAAATGCACATTCTGCGACATGAAATCGATAACTGGGAGTTTTATTAACATTAAATCATCCTTTGCCTCCCTTGCCTCTCCTGCTGCTTAATCCCACTGACTAACATCAAAAATTTTATCTGTTAATATTATTTAATAAATCTGAACTATCTATGATTTTGTTGTATTTTTATCAATTGAATTCATTCATTCAAACCTTTATTTAACCAGGATAAAAACTCCTTGAGATTAAAAATCTCTTTTACAAGAGTGTCCTGGTAAACGTAATGTATCCTGGTGAATGTAAACAAAGATAAATAAATACTTTACCAAATCTATCATTGGTTAATTTTAGGTAATGCATTAACTAATTTTACCTTATTGTAAAGTGCTACCCCTTTTACTTTATTGTAGACACTCATATTTGTCTTTATATTTGTCTTTTCTTGAATGTTGTTTCCTGTTTCACAGGATGGCAGCACGGCTCTCTCCATTGCTCTGGAAGCCAGTCAGAATGACATCGCTGTGCTTCTGTACGCGCACCTCAATTTTGCTAAGCCGCCTTCCCCTGTAAGTGTGCTTGCTCTGTTTTCACCTAACAGCCAAAGTTAAAACACGTGTCAAAATAACAGATATTACACGCAGCATTACGTTAATCTGCCCTGTGAGTTGACTCGCACAGTTTTTCCTTTTCGACAGGTGTCACCAAAGTCTCCTATTCTGGGATCTTCTCCTCCCTCCTCTGAACTGAAGTAAATGGATGCCATGAATGTGATGTCAACTCTTCCAGCTTACGTTCCTCGTCCATTCCAGTGTGTGTGTGGGTGTGGGTGTGGAGGTGTGTGTGTTTGTATACCCACAATTTAGCATGTACAACTTTTATAGATATAAAAATTGTGCACTCTTAAAAAGGAAACTAGCACTTGGCACCATCGGTCCTTTATCTGTTGTTTTCTGCTCCTTTTGTAGCTCATTTAAGTGCGCGTGACTCAAATAAGAATAACAACGAGCGTGTAATAGCAATATCATTTATCTAGCTGTCCATTTGTTGACATGAAACAAGTGTTACCATATAAAGTCAAATTATAAAAGTGCATTTACTTTTAACTACCCAGCAGCAATTTTTAACAACCATTTAGTCATATAGTCCAACAGCATTGATTACATTTATAAGAGCATTGTACAAAAAAAAAAAAAAAGTTTATCTTGATCAAGTGTCCTTTCGCAAAAAACACATTCTGAGTTTCCACAGCAGCTGTTTTCAGCACAATGTTTGATAGCTTTTACTTGGTGATTTTCAATATTTGATTATTATACAGTGCAGTTGTCTCACCCTACGGGAAACGGGAAACATAGTGCTCCACTTACTTCTCTAGGAGATTTGTAATACTATATTTTACAGGTAATACACTTGTGATGATATTTTAGCATTTTTACTGAATAAATTCCCGTGGTGAGATGTCATCCTGGTTTTAGGCTTGTGTAAATCATCTGGATGTACAGGTTCCCAGTAAGTGAACATGATTTCACCAAGTACAACATGTTCCTGGATCAACATTTCAATCAACCAATCAGATTTGAGGGATAGGTAATGTTATGTTTAGGCTTACAACCAGGGTTAAGGGCTTATACACCATTCTTAATCACCTATCATGACCATCTGATTTTAGGGATAAGTTATGGATAGGGGTAGGACTATGTTTTTGGACAGAGAAACAAAGACATGTTCCTGGGTCAACATATTTAGTTGATCCTGGTACAACATGTCCGAAAATGTATTCCTAACCATATCCTTAACCCTAACCCTACCCATAACTTATCTCTGAAATCAGAGGGAAATGATGGTGAATAACTCTGATGTAGAAACACCTAACCCTGATTATAAGCCTAAACTTGACATTAACTGTAAACTCGTCCTGCAAATCTGATTGGTTGCTTGAAATGTGTGTCTTACTTGGCAAAATCACAGTGACCATTCTCATTACCACCCCAGGTTTGTTCACAGCTGATGCTGTATTATGGTCTATTGAGGTTGTACTTTGTTTACTCTGATTTGTGGAGGACTGCATGGTTTTGTCATCTTGTTAATGTAAAAAAAAATAAAATAAAATGATTGAAGGTTTATTGAACAAGGGCTCTCCAAAACAATATTGATGAATATAAAATAATGTTGCAGAGCTATACATTCTCTTTTTTTTTTTTTTTTTTTTTTTTTTTTAAATCTCTGTTTTCTTGCAAATTACCAGTTGCAATGATACATAGCCAGAGAAGGAAATAGAAGGTACTTTTTTTTTTCTTTTTTCTTTTTTGGTGAGTAAGACCAGATGTTGTGCACATTATATATGCACATGTTGCTGAGCACAGATTGATTTGGCTCGGTATTGTCTACAACGAATGTAAGATGTTTTCCAAAATGAAAATAATATATATCGTCTCCAAAGTTTTAGTGCAAAGACTATAGAATTTTTTAAGCATTTTTTTTAACCACACAAGTTGTTGGATTTTAATATTTTAAATGGAAGAGCTTTGTTTAATTTGAAAGATAGATTGAACCTTTTGGTTTACCCACACATGCTTTCATATAACTAGTTTAGTACCTAATTAGTTTTATACTCTTTTGTATTTGTTTTATTTAACACTCTTTGAATATCTTTCAAAATTTGTAATATCTGTTCACAGTTTTGTATATCTTTTGGCACATTTGCCGGTCATGTACCTTTATGTAAAGTGCTCACACATTTAAATTTGTTTGTTTGTTTCCCTAGTTTTGGGGAAGAATAAACTTAGATAGAAGGACGTGTGACGCTTGGAATGGAGTATTTATTTCATGTATAAGCGTTGTGGAGCTACAGGACAATGCAGCCATTTTAAAAGAGAAAAGTGTCCGATGTACAGACTTTCCTTTTTGTGCACGCCAGAGGGCGCAATAATACAGCGATGGTGAAAACGGCTCTCAGTACATCTGTGGGAGATGGAGCGCAGGCCTAGATATAGCATGTCCTATCAATGTCAATATAAGAGTTATTTGGCGGAATTAACACCTTTTATTAACATGGTAACGGTTTCATTATGTCTTCGACACCTGCACAGTCATGTTGTTCAACACAATCTGATTGACCTTTCTTGAAGAATGGAACCCTTGACCAAAAACACAATTGTAAAACATGATCCCCCGGTTTCCAAAGCTAGTCCCAAACTAAAGCGCATGTTTGAGCTGTTTTTATCTGAAAGCAACTTGAATATCTTAAAATAGGTCAGTGCCATGATTTGTCTCAAGATGCACACCAGTAATGTTTTATTGTGTTTTTTTTTTTTTAAATCTAAGGCACGTTTATAAAAGCTACTTAAATGTCCTAATTGAACTAAAGCCTTAATCTAAACCCTGTCTGTGAAACAATGCTCATTAGTGTAGTCTAGACTTTACGTTAACTTTTACATGGCATGATCGAACAGAATTGTCTTCTCGCTATGTTTAGTCTACCAACTGATAAGTAAATGCTATGTATTTTATTAATGGATATAAAACATCCCAATAGAAAACAACATATATGACAACTACAATATTCCCAATAGTGCATGCAACATTGCACTGAGCTGTAGGCCTATCTATTTTGCCCAGTGAAATATTAATACAAAATGCTTATACAGCCCATACCAGACGAAAAATATGAAAATGACCAAAAAGCCATATAGTGTGACCAAGAAAAAGCCCCTAATAGCCTATAGTTTATTATGTCATCCTTTATTAGGACATACCGTTTATTCCATTTTTTATATTTTATTTTCTAGTCTGTTAATATAATTATTGTTATCTACCCTTCGACGACAATCAATGACCCCCTAAAAGGCTATAAATGTGTTTTTAAAGAGGTTCCGTTCTGTAAAAGAAAGATGAAAATTAGTTTAAAAAAATAATGTGTCTTGATTCTGATTAGCGGATTTATGGGATGAAATATTTCGTATAGGCTAATGAAAATCATACACATACAAACGAGTAGACTACCCAGCAAACATTGGTCCGACGGCAACGTCGTGTCCCTGGACAAAAATAGTTGCGGCCAGGACGTCATAAATCGGTAAAAAAATGTAACACAGAACATTTCCTAAAAATGCATTCAGATACATTTGTACATGTCTACAGTTGCATGTATAATTGTTATTTTAACTTTTAGCTCGTGTAGTTATGTTTAGTGTATCGGGTGAGAGGACGTCACCTGGCGACGTCTTTTACACGTGCATTTAAAGTCCATCATGACCCTCTATGAAATCCTTGTTAAATATGCAAATGCTGCGCTTAATCCTCGCATGGTTAATACTGCAATAATTAATGTAGTTGCCCATGAAGTTTTTAAGAGGTTGTGAAGAAGACGTCCACTGGCGTCCTTTACACGTCTAGTCAGGCTGTGAATACTATACGTCCACTGGCGTCTTTTGCACGTCTAGTCTAGCAAGACAGAAAAAAATTATCAGGATTTATAATTCTTTATAAAATACACGATTTATATACAAATGAATATGTATTTACTTTATCTTGTTTTTATAAATTATAATCACAAAATGCACAGTATAGTCAAGTGATTGCAAAGCCACTGCATTATAGTCATTATTTTAACCTGTTGTACCTGATGTATTCGTTGTTATTTTTTTATGGAATGTACATGTAAAACAGAAATATACCCGGTCACCATTTATGTCTGAGTTGGATGTAATTACCCAAACCCTCTGCCCAAACCATAAACTGTGCTGCCAAGATGTAGTAACAAAAGATCTCGCGATATTACAAAATCCTGCGATGGGATTATCTCGCGAGATGTTAACACGTTCTCCCCATAGATTCTGGAACTTTGAACAAACACGAGGAGAGGAGGGAGTTGTGTCGATATTATTAAAAATCTACTGTTGGGTAAGTACATTTTGTATTAGATTAACGTGCTTGAGTTTTACTTGTGTGACATGAATGAACCGAAAGAAATTATGCCCACATTGTCAACTGAAATTTACTGAGTTTGGCTAAAATTAGCCAGTAGGCTAAAAGTAACTTTGAACGTATACAACAACGGTAACGTTATACCAAGTATATTGTTTAATGATACAGTCATTACTGTAACTTATTAATGTAGCCTTTTGAGAGTTTCTTTCAGAAAGTAAATTATCTGAAATGGAATGAAATGTTTAGCTGGATTTTAACATGTATGTTTTCAGTAACTGCTTTCAAAATAAAAGCAGAACATATTTTATACAATAAAATAAAATGTAATGCATGTTGATTAAATTTTTCTAATGTGTCATTCATGATTCATTCATCTTGTTCCATGTTTTTTTTTTTTTTAGCTGTAGACCATAAAAATATTTTGAAAATAAGTGCATATCATTTACCTAAAATTTTAATTTAATAATAATTTTATTTATTTAAATATATATATATATTCTCTTCCCTTAGATGCTGTGAAGAGGTGGAGCCCAAATGCTACAGACTCTGAAATTGATGCAGCAATGGCAGAACACCTGAAACACGCTCCAGGAAGAGCTGGTGGATACAAAAACTGAGCCAAACAATGTGTTTTTAAACGGATAGTTTCCCCAAAAATGAAAATTGTCATCATTTACTCAACCTCATGTTTCAAACCTGTATACCTTTCTTCATTGAATTTTAATTTTTGGGTGAACTATCCCTTTATAGAATAATTCAGTATTTTGTAATTGGTATTTTAGTTTGGTTAACAAATGTTAAACATTGAAAAAATATTAAGATACATTTTGGCTGTTCAAGATCAATAAAATGTGCTAAATCAGAACATGCTTCTTTTTTTCTTATGTCCACAAATAATGTGTTCTTGTTTGTGATGTACACGTGATTAAAACGTTTTATTGACGGTCAGGTCTGACTAGACCAATTTTGGACCTTTTTAGAACCTTTGTCAAGATGTGTAAACTTCAAGACTTGATTGCCTTTCACGATGTTACACAATATGTGTGTGATTATTTTAAATGCAGGCTTATATACACTTAATTATGCAGCAACACATTTAAACACACAAATGACGACGCATTTAGACGTCCAGGGACGCGCTGAAGAGACGTGGAATTCACGGCCAGAAGAGACGTGGAATTCACGGCCAGATGACGTCAAAGACGTCGGTTCAACTTTCATTTTGGAACTATTTTTCAACCATGACGGGACGTGTCGGACGGACGTCTTTTCAACGGTCATTACACGTCCAAATGTTTGCTGGGTAGTTTCATGCCTCTTGTATTACTCCGCCTTTTTTATTTTATGAAAAATAAACATTCATGTTTCAACTGTAAACAACAACCATATATTGACTATAAGGCTAGCTGCATACGGTGCATTTGGCAGATGAAAGTATAATTTTGTTACACGCCTATTAATCGGGTCTGCCGTCTTTTTTGCACACCTTCAGCACATGCCCCTGAGTTACAGCATTCATCGTGAAATATCTTGCTTTCTCAGAAGTAGCATTTGCAGCATGCTTCAACAGAAAGCATGAAGATCTCCACGCCTGAACAAATTCGTCGTAATCGACATCAGTGCCAACCAAGGGTGGACCTCCTTCTGAACCTACTGATAAAATGTGTGTATGTTTCCAGAAGATTAGACTTGAAATCTAACCTTACCGTTTCTCTACAGCAATAGTAGGCTAGTTTGGTCAAATATTAATGTCAGTGGTTTTATCACTCCCAGACAGTCTTTAATTAAATGCCGATTTTGGCAACGTGAACACAAATCAATGCATCATTCTAGAAATAAGTCATTTATCGGCTAAGTGCCATCAGCACTCTTAACCCCCAAAAAACACAAGCTCCTCGTAGTGGGTCAAAACATGCTTCAGCGTAGAGAATGTTGTGACTATTTCATGAAAACGTGTTTCTTTACTTGTATATTTTATTTTAGAAACCTCTGGTAAAACATGAATAAATGCAAAGAATGACTCTTGTGCAAAAGCAGTGTGCTTGCTTGTATAGAATGTGCACTTCAGATTCTAAAAGTATTTTTTTTAAACTACTTGCAGATAATATAATATAAAATAATTGTACTTAAATGGAGTACACTTTCATTGTGACTCTTTCTTAAACACACTTTTTTAAAAGTCCACGGTAGTTGTCTAAATGTTTTAAAAATATGGAAACACAAAATAACACTTTTTTGAATAGTTCTTTTCAACACTTTAAAAGTGTGTCATGCTGGGGTCCACTCCCAGTTGAGTTTTAACAGTTTTGAAAGTGTAATCGAGTTCATATTTACTCTGTGCAGAGTTAAAATGTAATTCAACAAACTCTAAACAGAGTAATACATTTTATATTGGTGTTTTATACTCGAATTTGTTTCGAATTAAGTGGGTCAAAAGCACTCTTAAGTAATTGCATCATTTTAAACAATAGTTTAAGTCAAGCCTTCAGTTAACAATAATCAAACAATGTCCTTGTTAATGAAGCCCTTGTGGGGCTCCTAGAGTTTGAATAATAAAAACACGAAATGCTCACTTGATTCACACTAAAACAGCTGTGTCTTGCTTATCAAGATTCAAGAGTTGTTTTCCCACTGGTCGGGAGGTGGAGTCAAAAAGTGCGTTCAAAACAATGCCCTTCTCTGCTTTAAGAAGCCCTGCCAAGAACCACAGATTGCTTGAGTTGTTGTTGTTTTTTTGGCAGCCTGTTCACAGCTAATCCAGTAACCATGAGTCTTACTGCAAAGGACAAATTGGCGGTCAAGACCTTCTTTGACAAAGTTGCCCCTAAGGCCGAGCAGATCGGCAACGAGACTCTGTCCAGGTAATGTGAAATGTGCATAAATGAGCGGACATTTATAGCATAAGCTGCTATTATAGACAATCTATCTAATTATTATTTTTTTAAAATCCTTTCAGGACTCTGTTCGTTTACCCTCAAACGAAGACGTACTTCTCCCACTGGGCAGACCTGAGCCCTGGCTCTCCTCAGGTGAAGAAACATGGACTGACGGTAGTGAATGGTGTCCTGACCGCTGTGGGGCTGATGGATGATCTCAAGGGTGGTCTGCTCACCCTCAGCGAGCTCCATGCCTTCATGCTTCGCGTGGACCCCGCTAACTTCAAGGTTCGTTCTGCTGAAAACATTTGTCCGAGGATCTCATTTAACATCCAATTTCAACAAAACACAGTCTATATTTGTTATACGTTTTTATTTGATTCCCCCAGATCATCAATCACAATCTCCTCGTGGCGCTCGCGCTGATGTTCCCTGAGGACTTCACTCCTGAGGTGCACGTTTCTGTGGATAAGTTCCTCGCTCTGGTCAGCCTGGCTCTGTCCGAGAAGTACCGCTAAAGTCGACACGGCTTTCATCTCCGACGCGACACTGTATTCGCCTTAATGAGAATGAAAAAATAATAAAATGAAATATATGAAATCAAGCTCTCTCTCCCTCTTTTCGTTTCTGCACACAAAAACACCACTGATCTGATGTGTAGGCTATAGGCCTATACACTGTGAAAATGTATTTTCATAATTTGTTATCAGAACTTTTTTTCTTTTGTCAAATCAACTTAGAAAATGAACGTGGTTCAGATAACATACTATTTTGAGTTGATGTTGAAAACCAATGTCATCCATTGTGTTATCGCAAATGATTAATATTTTTTATGTTAAACCAATTAGTTTTTACAGTGCCACTTGGAGTTTAATTGACTTGACAACTTTGTAACAGTTCTAAAATAAGAACTAACGTGTTTGTTTTTAACTGCAGTTATTTGCATTTGCAAATCATATCAGTTATATAGTTCATGAAGTTAGGCTAAATTTATTTGAGTATTTGTGACAAAACACTGATAATCCATCTCAACCCAAAATACATTTTGGCAGTTCAAGACACGCTTAAAATGCTCAGACCTTTTTTATTTTATTTTATGAAGATGTTTCAGAAACTTTATATTTGAGAACTTCATATAAAACACGAATAAATGGAAAGAATGACCACACATTTATTAGTGGTGTCCTTATGGGATATTTGACCCTACAAATTCGATTAAACCATCAAAACATGAGGAAAATAGGCCTATTTATGACGGAAGAACAACACTCTAAACAACTCCTTTAAGGTATTTATCTGACAAAAATATTTGGGAAAAAGAGGCTACAGCTACAGGTTTTATTTTACTATGCAAACAAAGTGCATATAAAAACGTTCACATAATTAGTTATTAATACTTCGTTGTTTTTGCAATTTGAAAGACAGCCTGGTCAAAAGTGACGGGAATTAAGAGATGATTAAATTACAACCAGTTTATATCAAACTATTTTCTTAATGAAGGCCTGGGATTGTTCTGTAGTTTCGTTGGAATAATGGATATGGGCCTACTGTACATGAATAGTGTGTTTTATGTAAATTTTGAGCACAAATGGCCCATAAACAATAAATAAACGCATGACACGTGTAACTTTTGAGTCTAGATTATGGCGCCTTGTTTCCTTTTACGAAGGGCGGGGGAAAAGGTTTCTTTACTAAATTAGGCACGCAGGCTAACTGTACCGGGACTGTAAGAGATTCAAGCATTGTTATCAGATAGCTAAGCCATTCTGAAAGCCTTAGCACATCTCTGCAACAGCCGCTGACAACAACTCAAATGCTCAGTTCTGGAACCAACCATCTGACACGACAGGTAAAATTTGATAACTTTCTCTTTAAAAAAAAAAAAAAAACCAGGATGCTACATCTGATTACACAGAGGATCCAATCGTGCGTTTGATTCCATTCTAGCTTTTCATTCTAGCAAATATGGTCGAGACTGTGAAGGTGAATTGTATTATTTAATTTAAATAAATGTAAATCAATTATTCATTAGGCTGTTTTCCATTTCGTAAAGTCAATTTCAAAGATTGAGTCCGATTTATATAAACATGGCCAATCTGTTTAGGAGCTCAGCTCAATAAAATGAAGAATACGCGTGTTTACCTCTGAGCTCTTCACAGTACCTCAATTGTCTCGGCAGTATTTGGCCTGGTTATATGTATATTATTATGGCAGCATCTGAGAGTGACTGACAGGATCAGACAGGTTGTGTGTGGCGCTGTCCAGTGCTGAAACCAGCAGGTCGGAGATAAATGGACGTCAATCATATGGTCATTATCAAGTGAAATATAATGGGGGTTATTTAAAAATGTGTATATGGAGAAGACATAATTGGCAAAAGTGTGAGGAATATTATGATTATTAATATGGGGATAATTAGACATACACACTGCTGTGATTGTTCTGTAATTTCTTAATTGCTTGCTCAGTTGGTAAATAATTTAGTAATAATAAGTAATCCTAAAGTTAAATGTTATTTTTTTCACATTATCGGGAAACATTCCTAATATTTTTCCCCATATGGATTTAGTTGACAAAATGACAAAACATGTCTTAAATCTAAAAAAAAAAAAACGAGTAAACCTGCAGTATATTCACAATGGAAGTTTTAGTTCTATTCTACAAGCTTTCCATAACAAAAATTTAGTAGCTGTTTGACTTATTTACTGTAAATATCAAAGAGAAAGTAAATCATGAGAGTAGTTCCATTTTTTTTTTTAAAAGAGTTGAAGTTGAAGTTTTATTCACAAACGAGGAGAAGCCATGACATAGCTGACATATAAGCAAAAACAATTTTATTTAAACATACACATTAACACACTTTACACAGGGTCTCTTGGGATCCCAGACAAATGAAAGTTTGGTCTGCTCATGCAATCCCAGTGATACCAGCCTTTGCAACTGACACATTCAATCTAAAAAAATATAATAAAATTAGGCCTACATTTAACAAACCTGTATTATTCAAATTCATGCTCAAAACAAAGTGAAAATAAAAGTGTCTGCTTTGTCTGGTGTACAGGGATATTTATTGACATCTTCTTTGGAAAAGAATCAAGGTTAGCCTATATTATAGACATTATAGGGTTATCACATGCATAATTCATCATGGCCAATTAAGATAATCATTAAAATGTATTTAAAGTACATTAACATGTTTTCCTGCATGTGTACAATTTTGGAAACATATATAACATAACACTAGAAATTTACCCAGAGTATAGAAGTGGTTCTGCAAACTAGGAAAGTTTACTGCTGCCTGAATTCACCACATGAGTTTAGAATGAATATTATGCTACGGTTGCTACCATACATTTCGGCAAACCTATAAACACGCTTTAAAGACCAAATGTTAAAACAGAAAGGCGCCAGATAGCACAAGTCTATTTGATGTGATGTTTACATCTGGAAGACGTATTTTTAAGAGTGTTTGCTCATCTGCAATACGTCTATATGACGTTTCCTGTCAGATATCAAATATACGTTTAGAAGATGTCAGTTTAACATGCATTCTAAATCATTACATCTTAAAGACATCTTCTAATCTCGTTTCTTCATAACATCTAGTTCTGGCATGGAACTCTAGATGGCGCAGGCTGATAAGTCTTTAACTAATTCGGTAACGATCACATCATTATCTGCATGATTGGTTGCTGATTGGTTGCTGTTGCATCAGCAGCCAATGAGGTGCGTGTCAACATTCAAACAAATACCGTGTGTGTTGCTGTTAGCAGTAGCCTATGCAGTGCCCTTTCAGAACGCATCTGGAACCAACATCTAAGATAAGTGATTGGTGTTTTATTCCACATCTCTGCACATATTGTGTGGTCCGGGTATTGCCGTAACTAGTAGTGGGCATATCGAGGCTTCGTGGAACACTGAAACAGTTGAAGCAAATGTGCCGTATTGTTTCGAGGCTTCGAAACAATCCGACACCCGTCTCCACAGTGACCCCTAGTGGTCAGAACAGTGTAAATGCAACAGAAACGCTGGCCAAACATGCACAAAAACACATTTTTACAAATCTATTGCATTTTTTTTATTAAAAGTACATTTTTAAAATGCAATTATCTAATCATTTAATAAGATTATCAAGTGTCTATGTTCTTTTATCATTTGTCAGGGTTTGTTTTGTTTGTTCTATGAATGGATCAGCTAAACAGGCCAATAAGAGACTATTAACTACCATTATTTATTTTAATTATACTAATGTCTAATTAAAACGTCTACAAATGTATAAAACTGAACAGAGATCAGGTCAAACCCACAGACATTCCTTTATTGGTTCTAAGTGACTCCTCATGATTCATGGGTTGACGGAGATCATCGCCCCCAGCGGTGAACCATTGCAATTTTGAAGTGTTTCGGTTTCAAAACGTTTAGAAACCACGTTAAGGCCAATTAACAGTTATGACGTAATGAAACCCCGTTTACTGAAATCACGTGACTCTTGCAGTTTGATACACGCTCCGAACCATTGATTCGGAACAAAAGATTCATAAAGGTTTTGAAGCTTCTTGAAGCAGTGTTTTGAAATTGCCGTCACTACTTTTAGCATATGTTAAAGTGATATAAGCATTTATGATTTAAAAGGCATTAACCATATTTAGCGGCATAAATGACGCCTCATTTTATTTCCAAGAGCAATGTTTTCATTAGCTATAGGCTACTACATGTGTGAGGTTGATTCAGATGCTCACTGTGTCTGAATCATGCAAAAAGAACAATCAGTTAAACTAAGCCTCATGTTTATAGTATTGTGGAGTGATTTATTAAGTATAAGTTAAAGCACTATGCTGTTGTGTCTATGCAGCAGAAAATGGTCTATTGTTTGTATCTGTGTGAGTAGCCTATATGTTGTCTAAGCTATGGATGAGATGGTTAAAGTAAAATTAGCATTCACATTCAATGGGATTACATTTTTGGCTGCAAAAAAAAAAAAAAGCATGTTCATATTTCAAGGATAATGTTTCATTAGCTATGTTAATATGTTGATGCAGTGTCAGAGCACGCTGTCATTCATTATCGCTTCTAATGGCTTAAGGCTGATTTATACTTCTGCGTCGGACCTACGCCAGAGCCTCTACGCTATAGACTACGCGTTGGTTTTCATTTATACTTCTGCGTCGTTGTCCGCCTTGACGCGCAATTACGCATGCAGAGGGAGCATGTGAAACCCGGGGAGCGGTTCTAGCAGGCCAATCACAGCGCTTGCGGTACGCGTAGAATTGACGCGTTGTTACATTTTTGGAGAGGTGCACGTCAGGGTACGCCGAAGGGTATGCGCGCTACACACCGCCTACGACGTAGCTACGGCGTGAAGGCCAATTTATACTTCTGCGTCGAGTGTACGCCGTAGTGTACGGCGTACGCTACGCACGTAGGCGACGCCGTCATGAGCATTTATACTTCTGCGTTTAGGTCTGCGTTGCTCTGCAGTACAGCGCCGAAACGCTTGTTGGCGGCGGAGGGTTTTAATGTTCCACTGTGTTTAGATTCCTCGCGGCAAGAAGAAGAAGATTCCTCGCGGCTGTTTTGAGTTTAGGTTACTACAAGCAATGTCGACTGAAAGAGAGCAGATCATGTTGGAGTTGGAGCTTATCGAGGTGGAAAAGGTAATTTTTTTTTTTTTTTTTTTTTACAGTTTCGCTGTACTTAGAATTTAAAAATGGCGGGCGGTGCAGAAGAACACGCCGGAAATACATAGGAGGAAACGCGATGCTCCCAAGCCGACCAATCACAGATCTTGCGGTCCGCGTCGTCGCGACGTGTAGTTACATTTTTGAGGAGGTGCGCGTCAGGTTACGGCGAAGGGTACGGCGTATGGTACGCGTCTGTGCGTATGCTACGCCGTACCTACTGCGCGCACCCGACGCAGAAGTATAAATTGGCCTTGAGTTTGACGCAGAAGTATAAGTTGGGGTTTACATTTATTAAATAAGAGTATAAGGGTCTCTATCAGCTTGCAAAGTTATATCTGTTGTTCACAAGAACACATAGCATGCATTCTAGTGTTAAGCTGGTCGCCAAGGTAGCCAAGGCACACGTAGCCTTAGGTCGCTAGTGTTAAGCTGGTCGCCAAGGTAGCCAAGGCACACGTAGCCTTAGGTCGCTAGTGTTAAGCCGGTCAGCAAGGTAGCCAAGGCGCACATAGCCTTAGGTTACTAGTGTTAAGCCGGTCAGCAAGGTAGCCAAGGCGCACATAGCCTAGGTCTCTAGTGTTAAGCCGGTCGGCAAGGTAGGCAAGGTGCAATGTTTGAAGTCGTTCCCCTTCTGACGTAGGAAGGGGATCTTATTATAATTTTTCCGCCCCTTAATCAGCACGTTTCCACCCACGGCGCCGCCATTTGGTTTTTCGCAAGCGACAACAGTGTAACCAGTTCTAACACAATGACAAAAGTTTGAGCAAAGTATGCAAAGTGTTCTTCCGTTGGCTGCACTATTTGACCAAAAAATGCACAGTTGTCTTATAAAGACCTCAGGGAACTGTGTCAACTTGTGTAAAACATGACGGTACATGCAGAGACGATGAGGTGGATCAATGTAACTCCATAACAACTACATAAATGTATCCACTAACCATTCAGAAACGTCCAGGCGCAGTCTAAAAGTTGCAAAATCTTCCTGAGTTTCTCCGTAAGGCTGCACTCCGCTACTGGTTATTTCTGAGATTTTGGATGAGTGAGATTTTGGATGAGGGAGATTTTGTTTTGTTATTGCTTGTGTAAAGGATCGGCCATCGGGGGCGGAGAGCAGGAGCTAATTTGTATTTAAAGGGACACACAAAAACAGCACGTTTATATTATATCTTGTGATATCTACCAATCTCCAATCTTATATCTACCAATCTCCCAAGAGTTGTCATGACAGAATTATCTAATTCTGGCATTCAACTCTAGATGGTGCAGGCTGATAGGTCTTTAACTCATTCGGTAGAGATCACATCATTATCTACATTGCACAGCTGATTGGTTGCTGTTGCATCAGCAGCCAATGAGGTGCGGGTCAACATTAAAAAAAATACCGTGTGTTGCTGTTAGCAGTATGCAGCATGCTTTCAAAAACCCTCCACCTTCCACAGCTCCACCTGTATAGATCTGCTACGGGGGTTTATCAACATTGCCATTACCATGAGAGTTGCCATGACCGAACAATTTTAACAATGTCTTAACTACCTTTCTGGGCCTTGAAAGTTGCAATGACGTTGCTGCCTATGGCTGGTTCAGAAACCTCTCAGATTTCATTAAAAATAATCTGCAATCTTTACTGTCTTATAGATCGCTACGGGGGTTTATTAACATTGCCATTACCTTGTTAGTGCGCCCGCCTTCCATGCTGGCGACCCAAGTTACCCAAAATGAATGCAAGAACACTTTTGGAGCCAAATTAGCATTGAGTCCTAGGGTACACAATGAGGCATCTGACGAGGAACATGTAGATGTAAAAGCAGGCAAACACTTTGCATTCAGATCAACAGATTGGGCACACTCACCTTGCCAAAACCTGGGGCACAATCACATATAAATCAATTTTCCCCCACACGGACTTAATGGCCTGTCCACTCAACTATGATTAGTTAGAAACTTTAATGCTGCTATACCACTAATTACTTGTTGGTTAGGTTGCGTTTATTTATATCAGTCACTCGCCCATCATGTAATCCTGCAAAACATATGTCAGAAATTCTGTTCCAATGATGTTAATCCAATCTGAAAATTAGCTTTTCACTTCGTACTTATCAGCGCCACAACACAAGCAGCTTTAATGAGCCAAAATTAACTTAAACTGAAGCAGGACTGATATGGTATGACTTGATATCTGTGTCCCGTAAACAGTTCAATAGCGCGAGGCAGTAATAGATGAGTATCCGGAGGACCTTCCAAAGTTTATTCCTGTGTTGATTCGTTTATAGCTAAACTCATTCCGCTGGACAAAATACTTGTACAAAATACAAAATATATCAATATGAATCTTAGTGTATCACTGAAGTGTGTGTGTGGTCCAGGTAAACTCTACGTTAAGGGGACAAAAATGTCCCCACAAAGATGGAAAATTGGAAATATCTGAGATCCTTTTGGCCCCATAAGGTAAACGGCTTTTAAATCATACTAAATTATGTTTTTTGAAAATGTAAAAATACAGAAATTTTTCTTTGAGGGTTGTATGTAGGGGTAGAGGTAGTGTAGGGGGAGAGAATATACAGTCTGTACAGTATAGAAATGTGTATGTCTGTGTGTGAGAGTGAACATAAAAATATGCAGAGACCTATATTTAAAAAAAAAAAACCGATCATTTGGCAAACTAGTAGGATAGTATTTAAGGGTAGCCTATACACATTTATGGCAAGCGTCCCCTCTGGTAATTTAATCTGCATTCAAAACATGTTTGGAGTCATCAAATTATGAATTTATTTATTTGTTTATTAGGTTGATGGAATTACAGATTAAAGTATAGGCTAACTAAACATGTCAGGTGTATATTTCTATATAGTTTCCAAAGTCCTGTTACAAGTCATAAAAAGCTGTTGAATTGTGAGCTTCAGAATTATCTACACTTAAGTGAGACGCCCACAGACAAGAACTTTGTTTGATAACAGGCCATTTCAAAGATAGCACACATTTCTCAGCAAGGCGTGGCAAGAATTATACGATGTTTATTTGACAAAGTTCATTTGGAATAATTTGATTAAATCAAGTCATTTTATCATATTATACAAAATATAAAAAATACAAGATAATCGAAAGAAAGAAAGAAAGAACAAGAAAAACAACAGAACAAGCGTGCTATCATGAAAAAGTGTAATATTTAAATTGCTTGTATGTGGAAAGTTATATGTTTTGCTGTGGAGCTCCTCAATGTAAAACAAAACAAAATAAAATGGATTCAATAAAAAATGGATAAAAATACAGCTTTACAAAGTATAGCCTATAGTAAAATATAGTGTGGCATTCAAAAGTTGATAAGTCTTCCAAAGCTTGATAAGTCATCTTTGGGGGTGTGAGGAGGGTCTTGGGTGTTTCTTCCTGATGCCAGTATAAAACAGCCAGTCCTCTTGTCAGAAGTCTACAGAAGTTTTCTGCAAACTAAAGTCATCCTTCCACGATGAGTCTCACTGCCAAAGACAAAGCTGCCGTCACAGCCCTTTGGGCTAAGGTCTCAGGAAAAGCTGACGAGATCGGACATGATGCTCTTTCTAGGTAAGGTTTATTATGGTGTTTTGTAATATGCTAATAGTCATAGCTTAATGTTTTCTCTTGGCGTGTATCTGGAATTTAATTCAACGTGTCTGCCTATAGGATGCTGGCGGTCTACCCACAGACCAAAACCTATTTCTCTCACTGGAAAGACCTGAGCCCCGGCTCTGCTCCAGTGAAGAAGCACGGGAAGACTGTGATGGGTGGCGTTGGTGAGGCTGTCAGCAAAATCGATGATCTTACTTCTGGACTTCTGAACCTCAGCGAGCTTCATGCTTTCCAGCTGCGAGTTGATCCCGCCAATTTCAAGGTATATATAACCATGAAAGTTTGTATTAATTTTGTCATACTCTCGTAGTCGCGGTAACCTGAATTCGCTGTCTGTGTTTTCCCATAGATTCTGTCCCACAACATACTCGTGGTTCTGGCCATTCTGTTCCCCACCGATTTCACTCCTGAGGCCCATGTTGCTATGGACAAGTTCCTCTCTGCTTTGTCTCTGGCTCTGGCCGAGAAGTACAGATGAGCGCGCGTGGTTGTTCAAGACCAGACGGATGCCTGTATAAACATTCTGTCTTATTATGATGCAATAAACGAGTATGAAAAACTTTAACTAAATTTCTTTGCTGCATATTTTATCAAGTCATAAACCTGCCGCATTTGCATATTTAAACAACATTTCAGAAGTGTTTGCCGTTTTTAATGTAGGTAATCAATCAACCGGGGAAGTATGGTGATTATTTTTTATTATTAGCCTATTAGTTTTTAGTTGTTTTAGCTACCCTATTCACCTGAGGTGTCTTGCCTTTATCTGTCAGTGTCTGCTTGTCAGTAAATTAATGTTTTAAAACACCACTTTGTTGTCATGAAATGAAGACAATTAGCGAACGGAGAGAGACGAGATATGGCGCAGTCTCACATCAGAACACCAATATTGTTTATAACTGTTTAATACATTCTATAAGACTGCCATCATGAACATGAAAGTATAATGCTGTTTTAGCATGATACCCATTGTAAACCGTTTTACTGAAAAGTTTAAAATAAAATAAAACATAAAACAAATAAACTTAAGCAAATAAAGGTAAACAACTTTAAACTTTAAAACCTTCAAATTACCAAGCATTGCAAAACAATTTCTCTTATTGAGTAACATCGGTCTATAATTTTGGGGGGTTGCATAATTGTTACAATTTTATTTTCAGCGTATTTCACCGGTCATTATAACATAAATATATCCTCTTATTTAAAATAAATATATAAATACATATATAGGCTAAATGACTATATAATTTTGCCCGATGTCGTTCTGAGCTCGTGGCATTAAACTTTTATTAAAAATAAACGATTAAATCAATTTCAGTGTAAAATATAGTCACAGATGAACAGTTTATTTGAATTAAAACATATCCATCATTGAAACCTGTTCAATTTGAATTGTAATGTGAACACGGTCGAACGATTAGTATTTACAATAGTGTTCTAGTATCAAACAAAATCAGCCTTTGCTGAAATTAATATGCGCATATAACAATAGCTTACTAAAATCTCTCACACATTTATGTTATATTTGAATATTTCTGTAAATAGTTTCATAGGCTTCAGTTTAATGGTGTGTCCTGAATCTATACATATTCAACATTGAGAGAATTAAGTCTGAACAAAGTAGAATAATAAATAATACAAATATATATATTTTTTTATATTTTAATTCCTTTTTTCTTTTGAATACTTTAAGAACAAATAAACTAGCCAACTTTAAGTACAACATTAAATTAGTATTATTTGTTTGTGATACTTTGACATTTAATTAAAGAAATGATATTGACCAAAACTAATTGATAAACGTAAAAACAATTTCTCGGTAGGCCTACTTTTACACGAGACGGGTGGACTTTCAACGTAAAAATTGGATGAAGGACTTTTCCTTAAATCAAATTATAATTTTATTTCTAATTATTCTATTTGATGAAAATAACATCAACGATGAGTAAATTGTAGGCCTATTTGGTTATGTTTAGCATAGACGATTAAAACATCAAATACGGCAACGTGTATAGGCTATAAACATTGAAAAGCTGATACTTGTCTTCATGAATTTGTGTTAATATTTGTATCTATTTTTAATAAGCTCCTTGGACTATTTAGGCTAAAGGCTAAATTAACTGTAAACACTCAAACTCTATTATATCTCTGAAAATATATTTCAACATTCTGTATATAATTATAAATTAATTTTAGTTTGAGATGGCACAATGCAATGTTGAGGACATTATTCTTTTACAGAATGTGTATTACATCCTGTGCATTAAATGGTTCGTTTTATTTCGTCTGTTTGTTTAAATAGAACTTGAAATACAGCCTAGACCTAATCTGCATTTATTAAAGTTATTTCAAGTATTATTATGAGAGGTGTTCGGATTAGGTTATGCACGAACTTGCTGCCTATTTTAATATAAGAGATGATCTGTTAGAAACAGTTGTTACCAAGGTTTGTTTTATTTTCTAATCTAAGGTTGTCTGCAGCAGAAGCAATCTCAAAGACACAAAGAGTGAATTCATGCGAATATAAAAGAACACACAATGCACTGAATATTGCATTCTGAAATATTTATTTTCTTCAACTCAGAAGAACATATTCTAAACATCAGATGATCCTCTGTGCACAAGCAGGTTTAGTGATACTGTCTTCCAAGGGCGGAGACCACGACGGCGATGAATTTCTGAAAAGCGGCCTGGACGGCAGGTGTGAATCCAGCACCCAGTTGTGCAGCAACAACGATGGTTAAGCAGTCAGCCAAAAGCTGTGGGGGGACAGAGAGCAGTGATACACAGACGAGATGCGTGAATATTGAAGTCAGAACAAGACTTAGCCTATTAGTGAACGTTATTTGAGCGTCAACTTACCCTGAAGTTGTCAGGATCTACGTGGAGCTTCTCGGAGTGCAGCACACTTAGTTCAGCATAGGTGCCTTTAATGTCGTCCATGTTCTTCACAGCCCTGTCCAGGCCACCGAGCACAGTTTTACCGTGAGCAGCAACCATGGGGTTTCCCATGATGGCAGCGGCGTTGTAGAGGTTTCCAAAATTGCCGAAGTACCGCTGGGTCCAGGGGTACACGATGAGACATCTACGAAACACAATGAGAAGAAATCATTTTATCAGTGCACAGTTTCAAAAATTAGTCGCCTGCCTTAAAGTTAAAGTATTGCTAAGACTCAATACCTTGCCAGGGCTTGGGGACCAACGACGTCGTAGTTAATCTTGGAGAAGATGTCCTGGATGGTGGCCCTCTCAAAGTCTGTCCACTCAACCATGTTTCTGACTTTAGATGTTCAGACTAAACGCCTTTAACAGAAGCTGAAGAATCCTGTGAAGAGAGAGTTCCAGAGATGTACTTTTAAATGTGTTTCTTCACCACACCCCTTGGCAGGCTATTGGGTGATAAGTTTGTGGGTTGGTTCAACCACGTCCATCCAAGAGATGCATATCATAGCCTATTTTCTTTTCTAATATCTACAAATACTAAACTTAAACAGTTAATTCTAACAGTAGTTTGCCGAGAAATAAACTGAAACAACAAAAGGCCAAACGAGACTGGATTCTGTTCAAAAATTAATATAAATGTCATCAGTTTTTAAAGTACAATTATTGTAATCGGGTATGCACAGTTTTGTCCGGTCCGATTTGGCGGACTCGTTGACGACAGGCAAAAAGCGGCAAATGAGGCGTCTCTATGAGAGAAGAAGCAAATAATTTGTCTAATAAACACGTCAGAGGAAAACGAAGAGGCAGAGATCTGAGAAAACATACCCTCTTTTCATATAACATTCTGTTCAGAATTTATTCTTTCACAGGCTATAGCCTACATTTATGTCGCCTAACTGTAGAATAACATATCAATACAAATAGTAAATAAAGTAGTGATTATTACAATATCATAGGCTACTAGGCCTAAGTAATATATAGGAGGTACGTCCACGGACAGGCTCTCTTCAGCCTTCCTTGAGGTTTGTGTTGTCCTGCTTGCCACTGGATAAAGACAAAGATAAATGGCCACGATTTGATGACAAGCTAAAAAAATCGCATATTCTTTGGAGATGAGTTGGGTAACTGAAGACATGGTTTAGCCAACATCAGATCGGGCTGGGTTTAGCTCTGTCTCTAATTCTGACAGCCTGACCTGTCCTGTCAAAGTCACGTGCTCACTGCACTGCACGGAAGACTCACTTGCGATTTAGTTTAGATTCTAACATTATAAGCTGAGACTTCATAAGAATCATAAGCTCTATTTCTTTTAAAGTATCAGCTTTCTAACTAGCATTATCGCTAGCTATTAATAGTCTGACTGTGGTAGTCAAGCTGCCAACATGATGTTATGACCAACAACCAGAAACGACTATTCAGTCTTACCTGTGAAAGGTAATTCCCCGAAATATGTTTTGGATTGTGCCACGGTTTGTATAAACCCAAGGCTGCAAAGCATAGGCTACATCAGCCTGTTCTCACGTAAATGCGTCTCTATAGCACGCATTGTGTATTATCGTGCAATTTATACGCGAAAATGAGTTTTTACGTGCATATGATACGCAGTTTTCGCGTGCATTTGATACGCAGTTCATTTGCGTGTAATACACACGCACCCCACACCACTAATTCTACCCAAACGTATAATACACACGCACCCCACACCACTACTAAACCTACCCTAACCAACCCATGCGTATCCTTTACACGTAAAAACTCATTTTCGCGTATAAATTGCACGATAAACACACTGCGTGCTATAGAGACGCATTTAATGTGATCGGGTTGGCTACATTCTTCAGTCCTCCAAATCCCTGCCTTGTGGGTTTTTCTGAATTGTGTCTGAATTATTGTTTTAGCTGAACGATTCAGTCTTACCTGTGAAGGGTAATTCCCCGAAATATAAATAAAACCCAAGGCTGCAAGGCATAAGCTATATTCTTCGGTCTTCTAATCCCTGCTTTTCTGAATTGTGTCTGAATTATTGGTTTTATAAACACATCAAACTCCTGATCTGTAATATGTCCACATAATAATGTGTAGTGTGCGTGCATGTCTATCTTACACTCTTGTTTTTTTCTTGACCTGGTGTTGGTGGCGCCAGTGCTTGATGGTGATTATTAAATTTCCTTCAATTGGATGAATTGCTAGGTAATTGAATAAAAATGAATAAAAAATACAGCTTAAAGTGGGGCATTCAAAAGTTGATAAGTCTTCCAAAGCTTGATAAGTCATCTTTGGGGGTGTTGAGGAGGGTCTTGGGTGTTTCTTCCTGATGCCAGTATAAAACAGCCAGTCCTCTTGTCAGAAGTCTACAGAAGTTTTCTGCAAACTAAAGTCATCCTTCCACGATGAGTCTCACTGCCAAAGACAAAGCTGCCGTCACAGCCCTTTGGGCTAAGGTCTCAGGAAAAGCTGACGAGATCGGACATGATGCTCTTTCTAGGTAAGGTTTATTATGGTGTTTTGTAATATGCTAATAGTCATAGCTTAATGTTTTCTCTTGGCGTGTATCTGGAATTCAATTCAACGTGTCTGCCTATAGGATGCTGGCGGTCTACCCACAGACCAAAACCTATTTCTCTCACTGGAAAGACCTGAGCCCCGGCTCTGCTCCAGTGAAGAAGCACGGGAAGACTGTGATGGGTGGCGTTGGTGAGGCTGTCAGCAAAATCGATGATCTTACTTCTGGACTTCTGAACCTCAGCGAGCTTCATGCTTTCCAGCTGCGAGTTGATCCCGCCAATTTCAAGGTATATATAACCATGAAAGTTTGTATTAATTTTGTCATACTCTCGTAGTCGCGGTAACCTGAATTCGCTGTCTGTGTTTTCCCATAGATTCTGTCCCACAACATACTCGTGGTTCTGGCCATTCTGTTCCCCACCGAATTCACTCCTGAGGCCCATGTTGCTATGGACAAGTTCCTCTCTGCTTTGTCTCTGGCTCTGGCCGAGAAGTACAGATGAGCACGCGTGGTTGTTCAAGACCAGACGGATCCCTGTATTTAAACATTCTGTCTTATGATGCAATAAAGTATGAAAAACTTTACCTAAACGTCTTTGCTGCATATTTTTAAGTCATTAACCTGTATCTGCTTGTCAGTAAATTATGTTTTAAAACATCGCTTTTGTTGTCATAACTAGAAGACAATTAACGAATGAGGAGAGACGAAATATAATATCAGAACACCAATATTGTTTATAACTGTTTAATACTGCCATCATGAAAATGAAAGTGATGTTGTTTTATCTCTCATACTCATTATGAACAGTTTTGGCTACAAATCTGGCATTTAAAATACAATAAAACAACCAACCACAAAAATAAACGAGCAAATAAACAACTTTAAACTTTAAAACCTTAACATGAGACCAGACATTGCTTCATAATTTCTCAGCCTTCAGCATAGTTTGTGTATTTTAACATAGCCTAACACTGATCATTACAACATAAATCCTCTTATTAAAAAAATATTTTGACTGAGGCTACTTCCTAGACAGCAAGATGTCGTCCCAGATCCGGCCCACATCTGGTACATACACCGCACGGTCCAGATGTGGGCCGGATCTGGACCGACGCTATGTTGCTGTCTGGGTGACTTTTAATGGAGTAAATTAGATTGATTAAATGTAATTGATAAACAATTTCTCGGTACTTTTTACACAATTTACAAGACAGATGGACTTTTAAACTAATTTAAAAAGAGGATGAAGGCTGAAAACTAAATTCGTGATTAATATGATTTCAAACCCATGAAACAAATCTCTGTTTTGCGTCAATTGTGAACCATTTTTATATTAACAAATGGGGCGTCTCTCGCTCGGAAACAACATTTAAAGGTATTTTTCAACGTGCAATATGTAAATCTAATATTAATAATAGGGTTAAACCCCATCGAAACTGTTCATTTGGTGCATTCTATTATTTAATTTCCATTAAAATACATTCAAATGTCTTCTATTATTCTTATTATTATTATTATTGCCTTTGGTTATGAATCAGCACTTTTACCATCATAAACCTGAAGGGGGTGGATTGGAATCCACTGCTGCTTATATGTAATGATGAGTAATTATAATCAAGGTATTAATCAATATTTTTCCTTCTAAATATTAAATGAGTTGAATGACTTCTCTAGACTTGTGAGATTTTACTTTGTTATAGAAGTTACCAGTGTGATTACTGAAATGTTCTTTTCATGTATTCTTTAAGGTCTGTATTTGATATCTGAATGCAGTAACAGTGCTTGCTTATTTAGCCCGGCTTCCAGAGATGAAATAGGGACTTTTTTTGTGTTTGAGAAAGGTCTTCAACGTGTTAAAACATATAGGGGTCATTGAAGCCAATAGTTTAAGGGACCATTTCTTTGTTAAAGCCTTACTTTCCAGTTAGACTAAAGTTGAGAGAAAGAATGCATTATCTTGATGTTTTGAGAGGACTCTCCTGTTTATAGTTAGAGCCTGGCCAAATCCAACCTTGGAAAAGCTGTGTGTCGGTGTGTGTGTTAGTCTTCTTGGTTACAGGTTAAGGAACCACTGGCATTATTGGAGATTGAATGAATTGTTGTTCGAGACAGGCTAGCGCCCAGAAACCCAAATCTGCGACCATGACGTGCCTAACTTCAGGGTCTGAGTGTCAGCTGCATAATCGATGGAGATATTCTTCCGTCTATCTGTATATGTGTGGAAAATTACTGTGTTTATCTGTTTCTTAGCCAATGAGAATCATTCGACCTGTAAGCAATGACGTAGCTTAGACCTTGGAAATGGTATAACTGCTGTGATCTTTGTAACTGTAGAGGAGGCGGCCTACGAACTCCTGTGTGAGTCTTGAAGCTGACTTCTGTTGATGAAACTGCAAACTATCTTCAGTAAAACTTTTCTTTATTTTTTTTTATAATTCTGACTCCGGGTCTTCATTCTTCATCTGGTTCTGGGTCTTTAACTGTATACCCCTTACAAACCTCATTATTAAAATAACGGACTTTTTCCTGAAATCAAATTATTATTATAATTCGTATTATTCTATTTGAACAAAATAACATCATCAGTGAACTCTGCAACAACAAGCAAATTGTATTTGGTTATGTTTGTGGCGTAGACGATTAAAACATCTAATATTATAATGATTTTTCAATGAACATTGAAAGGATGATATTTGTCTTTGTGTTAATATTTGTATCTATTTCTAATGAGCTCCTTAACTATAGGCTAAATGCACTGTGAAACTCTCAAACTCTATTACCTCTCTGAAAATATATTTCAACACCCTGTATAAATATAAATGAATTTTAGTTTGAGATGGCACAATGCAATGTTGAAGACATTATTTGACTAAATGTATATTATATCCTGTAGGGCCTACATAAAGTGGTTCATTTTCTTGTGTGTGTTTGTTTAATTAGAGCTTGAAATAGGACTGATCTGCATTTATTACGGTTATTTGGTTCCACTTTATTTCGATAGTCCACTTTAGACATTCTACTAACTATAAGTAACTTTGCAACTACATGTCAAGTTACTCTCATTAGAGTATTAGTAGACTGTCAGTAGACTGTTAGGTTATGGTTAGGTGTTATGGTTTGGGTTAGTAGAACAAGTAGCTAATTGTAGTTGCCAAGTTACTTATAGTCAGTAGAAAATCTGTTGGTGGAGCATCAAAATAAAGTGTTAGATATTAGGCAGACATACTAATTCTCTAATGACAGTTAGTTGACATGTAGTTGCAAAGTTACTTAATTTAAAGAATGTCTAAAGTGGACTATCAAAATAAAGTGTTACTGGTTATTTCAACAGTATTATTAGAGAGGTCTTCATATTAGGTTATGCACAAACTTGCTGCCTATTTTAATATAAGATGATCTGTTAGAGACAGTTTTGGTTTTATTTTCAAATCAAAGGTTGTCTGCAGCAGAAGCAATCCCAAAGACACAAAGAGTGAATTCATGCGAATATGAAAGAACACACAATGCACTGAATATTGAATATTGAAATATTTATTTGCTTAAACTCAAAAGAACATAATCTAAACATCAGATGATCCTCTGTGCACAAGCAGGTTTAGTATCTAGTGATACTGTCTTCCAAGGGCGGAGACCACGACGGCGATGAATTTCTGAAAAGCGGCCTGGACTGCAGGTGTGAATCCAGCACCCAGTTGTGCAGCAACAACGATGGTTAAGCAGTCAGCCAAAAGCTGTGGGGGGACAGAGAGCAGTGATATATACACAGACGAGATGCGTGAATATTGAAGTCAGAACAAGACTTAGCCTATTAATGAACGTTATTTGAGCGTCAACTTACCCTGAAGTTGTCAGGATCTACGTGGAGCTTCTCGGAGTGCAGCACACTTAGTTCAGCATAGGTGCCTTTAATGTCGTCCATGTTCTTCACAGCCCTGTCCAGGCCACCGAGCACAGTTTTACCGTGAGCAGCAACCATGGGGTTTCCCATGATGGCAGCGGCGTTGTAGAGGTTTCCAAAATTGCCGAAGTACCGCTGGGTCCAGGGGTACACGATAAGACATCTACGAAACACAATGAGAAGAAATCGTTTTATCAGTGGACAGTTTCAAAAAGTCGCCTGCCTTAAAGTTAAAGTATTGCTAAGACTCAATACCTTGCCAGGGCTTGGGGACCAACAACGTCGTAGTTAATCTTGGAGAAGATGTCCTGGATGGTGGCCCTCTCAAAGTCTGTCCACTCAACCATGTTTCTGACTTTAGATGTTCAGACTAAACGCCTTTAACAGAAGCTGAAGAATCCTGTGAAGAGAGAGTTCCAGAGATGTACTTTTAAATGTGTTTCTTCACCACACCCCTTAGCAGGCTATTGGGTGATAAGTTTGTGGGTTGGTTCAACCACGTCCATCCAAGAGATGCATATCATAGCCTACTTTCTTTTCTAATTTCTACAAAGACTGAACTTAAACAGTTAATTTTAGCAATAGTTTGGCGGAAAAAACCCCTGAAACAACAATAGGCCAAATTACACTGGATTCTGTTCAAAACTTAATTTAATAAGTCAACATTTTTTTAAAGAACGATTATTGTAATCGGAGGATAGGCTATCGATTGCATATAGATATAAATGCATAGGCTTTGAACGAATATTTTTGTACATCTCTGCCTCTTCATTTCCGCTGACATGTTTGTTTATAGTAGGCTATAGAAGTATTGTAACAACTAATAATAACAGCAAATAGTATAGTTTTAACTGTAGAATAACATAGTCAATAAAAATAGTAACTAAAATAGTGAGCATTACAATAATATACTATAGCCCTAATTAAAATACAGGAGGTACACTCTTTTGGAAATTCAGAGAACAGTCCAATGACAGACTCTCTTCAGCCTTCCTTGCGGTCTGTGTTGTCCTGCTTGCCACTGGACAAAGACCAATATAAATGGAATAAAAATAACATTATATAAGCTGAGACTTCATAAGAATCATGCAAACTTATATAGTCTCACCTTTCTATCATTATCGCTAGCTATTAATAGTCTGACTGTGGTGGTCAACTAGCTGCCAACATAATGTTATAACCAAATGTATAATACAACCAGAAACAAGTCAGTCTTACCTGTGAAAGGTTATTCCTCGAAATATGTTTTGGATTGTGCCACGGTTTGTATAAATCCTAGGCCTATTTTCTTCAGTCCTCTAATCCCTGCTGTGTGTGTTTTTCTGAATTATGTCTGAATTATTGGTTTTATTCAACACACCAAACTCCTGATTTGTGTTATGTCCAAATAAGAATGTGTGTTTTAGTGCGCGTATCTATTTTACACTCTTGATTTTTTAAAGTCTTAAACCACCGGGTGTATTGGTGGCGCCAGTGCTTGGGCACGTCATGGCGGCTTGCAGCTATATGTAATTAATTATGATGTAATTAGTAATTAGTATTGATGGTATATTATTAAATTAACTTCAATTCAATTAATTGCTAATTAAAAAAATACAGCTTTACAAAGTATATTGTGAAATAAAGTGGGGCATTCAAAAGTTGATAAGCTTGATAAGTCATCTATGGGGGTGTGAGGAGGGTCTTGGGTGTTTCTTCCTGATGTCAGTATAAAACAGCCAGTCCTCTTGTCAGAAGTCTACAGAAGTTTTCTGCAAACTAAAGTCATCCTTCCACGATGAGTCTCACTGCCAAAGACAAAGCTGCCGTCACAGCCCTTTGGGCTAAGGTCTCAGGAAAAGCTGACGAGATCGGACATGATGCTCTTTCTAGGTAAGGTTTATTATGGTGTTTTGTAATATGCTGATAGTCATATAATGTTTTCTCTTGGCGTGTATCTGGAATTCAATTCAACGTGTCTGCCTATAGGATGCTGGCGGTCTACCCACAGACCAAAACCTATTTCTCTCACTGGAAAGACCTGAGCCCCGGCTCTGCTCCAGTGAAGAAGCACGGGAAGACTGTGATGGGTGGCGTTGGTGAGGCTGTCAGCAAAATCGATGATCTTACTTCTGGACTTCTGAACCTCAGCGAGCTTCATGCTTTCCGGCTGCGAGTTGATCCCGCCAATTTCAAGGTATATATAACCATGAAAGTTTGTATTAATTTTGTCATACTCTCGTAGTCGCGGTTACCTGAATTCGCTGTCTGTGTTTTCCCATAGATTCTGTCCCACAACATACTCGTGGTTCTGGCCATTCTGTTCCCCACCGAATTCACTCCTGAGGCCCATGTTGCTATGGACAAGTTCCTCTCTGCTTTGTCTCTGGCTCTGGCCGAGAAGTACAGATGAGCACGCGTGGTTGTTCAATACCAGACGGATGCCTGTATAAACATTCTGTCTTATGATGCAATAAAGTATGAAAAACTTTAACTAAACGCCTTTGCTCCATATTTTTAAGTCATTAACCTGTATCTGCTTGTCAGTAAATTATGTTTTAAAACATCGCTTTTGTTGTCATAACTAGAAGACAACTAGGCCTACGAATGAAGAGAGACGAACTATAATATCAGAATACAAATATTGTTTATAACTGTTTAATACATTCTATAAGACTGTCATCATGAACATGAAAGTGATGTTGTTTTATCTCTCATACTCATTATGAACAGTTTTGGCTACAAATCTGGCATTTAAAATACAATCAAACAACTAACCACAAAAATAAACGAGCAAATACATTTAAACAACTTTAAACTTTAAAACCTTAACATAAGACCAGACATTGCTTCATAATTTCTCAGCCTTAAGCATAGTTTGTGTATTTTAACATAGCCTAACATTGATCATTATAACATGAATCTATCCTCTTATTAAAAAATATTTTGCCTGTCGGTCTGAGCTCTTGTCGTTAAACTTGTATTATTAACAATACAATGAAATCAATATCATTGTAAAATATAGTCACATATATGGACGTCTCATGCAGTTTATTTTAATTATAACTTATAACCATAAATGAAATGATGGTCACGACCGAACGATTAGTATTTAATAGTATTCAAAATTTGAATATCAAAATAAAATCAGCTGTTGGTGAAATTATGCACATATAACAATAGCTTACTCAAATCTTTTCTTTTAATATACTTCAAGAACAAATAAACTAGTCAACTTTAAGTCCAAATGATAATTTTAATTTCCAGTATTATTTTTTTGAGATAGGCTACTTCCTAGACAGCAACATGTCGTCCCAGATCCGGCCCACATCTGGTACACGTGGATTCCACACGGTCCAGATGTGGGCCGGATCTGGACCGACACTATGTTGCTGTCTGGGTGACTTTTAATGGAGTAAATTAGATTGATTAAATTTAATTGATAAACAAGTTCTCGGAACTTTTTACACCATTTACAAGACAGATGGGCTATAAAATTAGTTTTAAATAAACTAATTTAAAAAGAGGATGAAGGCAAACTAAATTCGTGATTATGATTTCAAACCCATGAAACAAATCTGCTCTGTTTTGCGTCAATTGTGAACCATTTTTATATTTAACAAATGGGGTATTTTTCAACGTGCAATATGTAAATCTAATATTAATAATAGGGTTAAACCCCATCGAAACTTTTCATTTGGTGCATTCCATTATTTAATTTCCATCAAAATACATTAAAATTTCTTCTATTATTATTATTATTATTATTATTATTATGGCCTTTAGGTTATGAACCAGCACTTTTACCATCAAAGACCTCATTATTAAAATAACGGACCTTTCCTGAAATCAAATTATTATTATAATTCGAATTATTCTATTTGAACAAAATAACATCATCAGTGAACTCTGCAACAACGAGCAAATTGTATTTGGTTATGTTTGTGGCGTAGACGATTAAAACATCTAATATTATAATGATTTTTCAATGAACATTGAAAGGCTGATATTTGTATTTGTGTTAATAATAGTATTAGTAGACTGCCAGTAGACTGTGTTATGGTTAGGGACGGGTTAGTAGAACAAGTAGCTAATTGTAGTTGCCAAGTTACTTATAGTCAGTAGAAAATCTGTTGGTGGAGCATCAAAATAAAGTGTTAGATATTAGGCAGACATACTAATTGTCTAATGACAGTTAGTTGACATGTAGTTGCAAAGTTATAGTTAAAAGAATGTCTAAAGTGGACTATCAAAATAAAGTGTTACCGGTTATTTCAACAGTATTATTAGAGAGGTGTTCGTATTAGGTTATGCACGAACTTGCAGCCTATTTAATATAAGATGATCTGTTAGAGACAGTTTTTGTTTTATTTTCAAATCAAAGGTTGTCTGCAGCAGAAGCAATCCCAAAGACACAAAGAGTGAATTCATGGGAATATGAAAGAACACACAATGCACTGAATATTGAATATTGAAATATTTATTTGCTTAAACTCAGAAGAACATATTATAAACATCAGATGATCCTCTGTGCACAAGCAGGTTTAGTGATACTGTCTTCCAAGGGCGGAGACCACGACGGCGATGAATTTCTGAAAAGCGGCCTGGACTGCAGGTGTGAATCCAGCACCCAGTTGTGCAGCAACAACGATGGTTAAGCAGTCAGCCAAAAGCTGTGGGGGGACAGAGAGCAGTGATATATACACAGACGAGATGCGTGAATATTGAAGTCAGAACAAGACTTAGCCTATTAATGAACGTTATTTGAGCGTCAACTTACCCTGAAGTTGTCAGGATCTACGTGGAGCTTCTCGGAGTGCAGCACACTTAGTTCAGCATAGGTGCCTTTAATGTCGTCCATGTTCTTCACAGCCCTGTCCAGGCCACCGAGCACAGTTTTACCGTGAGCAGCAACCATGGGGTTTCCCATGATGGCAGCGGCGTTGTAGAGGTTTCCAAAATTGCCGAAGTACCGCTGGGTCCAGGGGTACACGATAAGACATCTACGAAACACAATGAGAACAAATCATTTTATCAGTGCACAGTTTCAAAAACTAGTCGCCTGCCTTAAAGTTAAAGTATTGCTAAGACTCAATACCTTGCCAGGGATTGGGGACCAACGACGTCGTAGTTAATCTTGGAGAAGATGTCCTGGATGGTGGCCCTCTCAAAGTCTGTCCACTCAACCATGTTTCCGACTTTAGATGTTCAGACTAAACGCCTTTAACAGAAGCTGAAGAATCCTGTGAAGAGAGAGTTCCAGAGATGTACTTTTAAATGTGTTTCTTGACCACACCCCTTGGCAGGCTATTGGGTGATAAGTTTGTGGGTTGGTTCAACCACGTCCATCCATCCAAGAGATGCATATCATAGCCTACTTTCTTTTCTAATATCTACAAAGACTAAACAATATTTTGCCGGGGAA